AACTTCAAATACACTTCCCACTTTCAGAATATATAGGTTGTATAATTTATAATGAATAAATTTCTATGTTAAAAATATTGGGGAATTAAGCATTTAGAACATTTTATCTCGCATTTTAGTCAAATGTAATATAATCCTCAAAAATATCCATTTTATAAGGTCGAATTCAACACTATAATTTATTGCTAATTTAAGTAGGGAAAGAAAAAAATTATAGCGGTTTCCGAGAAACAGTGGGTGTGCTAACTTTATGGTAAAGCTAACAAAGCCATAGCTAAATCTCGGCAAGTAAAAGGGGTAATATACAGGGCTCATCTTAGCGGCATATTTGGTTGCTAATTTGTTGCTGTTGTTTGGTACATCGACCAAAATCTAAAAACTATCCCATCATCTCTCCCGCAAAACTCATCTGCGGAAAAATCGAGATAAATTGTAGGTCAAAAAGCCAACCACAAGAAATTGATCCAGGTAAGTAAAAACATTATTTACCCAATTGTGGTATTGCGGTATTACATACATCTACATTCTATCTTTATCATCGTTTTATTTTCATCAGCCCTGCATTGCTCTTTGATGCATGGCCTTCATTCTTATGCATATTCTCGCTACCTTTCCTTTTGCTTACTTGATTAAAAGCTACACATTACCACTTAGTTCCTAATTTTTTTAAAATTTGGAGCAAAAATTGTAGAAATATTGCTCTGTATTAAGTTTATTAAAATGCAACCAAACATTGCTTTTGGGTGGTGCCATTTTTCTTTCAAGTTTTATTAACTACAAAACAATATTCAAACTGTGCCCAAATGCCTAATGAATAACCGAAATAAAGATAGGAAAAAACTCAATACCTATTATAAACAAAAAATCAAACAAGGTCGATCTTCTCACGATCTTGAAGAGAATTGAATCTTTGTATTTCACGAATGTACTTGTTTACACGGACCGTGGTTTACGAAAGCGTGGCTCACGTTCGTGATTCACTCCCCACTCCCCGTCAACGCGGCTTAAATAAAACTGCGCTCAGGTTTTTGAAAAAGCGTGTGAAATATACTATAATCTATGTTAGTTATTATCTAAGTGGGTCACATATATTTATCCACACAAACTATAGGGAATACTAGGTACACGTGTAAATATCGTTAATATACATAACAAACTCAATCGCTGTAAATACGTCTTCTCTGCCGAGGTTATTAGATAGTTATTAGTAATATAGCATTTATATACACTCAGATGCAAAAAAAACGCAACGCAGAACATTTTGATCAAATTCAAAGTATTTCAGTTTTTTTTTTATTTTTAACCCTATTTTGATAATTTTTTAAAAAATAAATTAAATTAATTAAATTAATAAATTAAAATTTATAAATTTTAATTTGGTATAGTGAGTTTTTTAATAAAATTTTGTATTTGACTTATTAAACGGGGTTAATCGAAAGGTGGTTTTTTATCCTAACTTTGAAACATCCTGTGGAAAAATTCCATTGGCGGATTTTCATAAAACCTTGTTTTTCGTGTAAACATGTAGTACTCTAGCCACATTTTCATAGTTTCGCCCGTCTTCAGCCAGAGCAACAGCTTTTGCACAATCTTCGACACTAAGAACAATGATCAATCATAGCTAAGCAAAATGTAAGTGTCAGTATGACATACTGATAAGTCACCAAAGCCACCCCGTCGTATTACAAAATAACTCCAAAATAATCATAATTTAAAAAGTCCTAAATTGTGGATATCAAATTCATTTGGCTCTAAAAAATGAACCAAGGCATATTTTGACATGAAACAAAAAACACAATGCTAAGGAGACATGGTTGCAACCGAAAAATAAGGTTTTACGAAAATTCGCAAACGGAATTATTCCACAGGATGTTTTAAAGTTAAGATAATAAAACCACACTTTAATTAACCCTGTACAATAAGTCAAATATAAAATTTTATCAAAAAGCTGACTATACCAAATTAAAATTTAAAATTTATATACAGTGTGCTAAAAGAATCATCAAAATAGGGCTAAAAATAAAAAAATTAAAATACTTTGAATTTAACCAAAATTTTCTCGATTGCGGTTTTATTGCATCTGAGTGTAGTAATAGTATATAGTAATTAAAACCAGTCCATACATGGTTTTTATTTAATTTATTGATACACTTCAACGACAAAAATGCTTTTTATTGCTTGATTCTTTTCCAAAACACAAAAATTATTGTAGCTTCATACTTAAACTACAACACCCATTGTTTCTCAGAAGCTACAATACTCATTGTTTCTCGGAAGATAGTGAAATAATAAAAGGCTCAAAACTACAGCAATAAATTAACAATGGAAGATGTATGGGTGTACTTATTTTATAACTAGTTTATTTCCATGTTTTGTGAATTAAGGGGAGTGAGATCAGTAGCACACGGTGTGGGGTACTTTAAATTAGCAAAAATTTAGCAGTAAAATATGGACTGTATTATCTCATAGCTACCATACCTATTATATGGATATTGTATCTTAAGAGAAGTATTGTCTGGTCTATGCAAAGAATATAGCCAAAAGGTTTGCAAGCTAAAAGCATGTGTCAAATGATATATTATTTTTATAAACTGTTATCAGCACTATCTCGCCAGGTATAAGATTTGCATTGAATGATGATGGGAACAATTAAGAAAGTTAGTTGAACATTATTATTCAAGAAAATTAGAGTAATTACTTAGTAAAACAATATGACGCTAAGATAGGTTCAGTCATCATTATTTTTGGGAAACAGTTGCAGCAATATATTGTTTCTTGGCATAAAACTTAGCAATAAATTAGCAATCAATTCCTTGCTGTGCTCTTTTTGGCCAATATCTTTGTTTTCCTAGCTTTTGAGTTTAAAGTTATCAAACCCACTGTTTCTCGGGAAAGGCTACAGTAATAATTTTTTTATTTCTAAGTTTACAGACATCACTATAAGACGATTTTTTTAATAAATAAACAATTTCTCAGTTGATTTTAGGATGGATAAATATGTGTGTTTCTTTACAGAAAATAAAATTTGGGAAGTAACATTATGTTGTGGGTACTAATTTACAGGTCAATTTATTAAGTTTTGCATTGTATTCCCAGATCTATGAATAGATGTTATTTTGATACAAAAGTACTTTTTCTCTACCAAATTAGCCAGTATTTTTTTGATTTTTCGTCACCAAGAAAGTAGTTGCAACACATAGCACACTACTTGCCATTTATTTCCCCCCATTCAGTTTAGATATTTGAAATAATCGCATAATAATCCCAAAATCCATCATTAGCTTTTAACAAAATCGTTTTTGACTTTTCAGTGATAAAAACTTGTTTATGCCAACTATTTGAACTGTTCTTTGGTTTAGTTAGTATAATCATGTCTTCATTTTCATTAACAGTTATGGATTTTGACAAAAACATGTAAAACATTGTGAGAAACACTAACACTTGCCAAGTGTGTTTTCATTTTAATTTTCCAGTTTACAGAATTAAGGGAGTTGATAACCAGCACATTTTATCAGTGGAATTCATATTGGGACCTAGATTAAAACAAATAGTTCTCACATTCAACTAAATTGTACAAATTGGGCATGAGGATATCTACAGGCTAACTATTGGAAAATATTCCTTACATGAATTAACAAAAGACAATGGAATGTTAAATTCAGCTTCATCAGTCATTATGATAGTAGCTAGTACCTGCTTCAAACATAAGAGAATACACCTAGCAACATGGATGTCAGTTGGTGGAAGAACTAGTAATCAGAATGATTTGGATAGATTCTAGGCATGGTTCAAATTAGGGTACACATATCAAAGCAAAAAAATTAGTATGGTCATACTAAAGAAAAGTATAATATTGAAGAGATAAGGTAAAGGCTAGACAAAACTGAACATATTACACACTGTGGTGTAAGAAACAATAAAAACATACAATGAAAACAGAAGAAAGTTTGTGAGCAGGCCAATATGACAATAGGCTGTATACCCATAAGACAAGAAGATTGTGTCATCCTGTAACCCTTTGTTTGAAGATCAGTACATGGCATATCTAGCACACTATTATATCCAAAAACACCAGTCATGTAACAATAGCTTGCAACCTATTACTTAAATAAAGATTTAAAATCCTCAATAAAATCAATTAGATTAGATTGATCTTAAATCAGTCCATCCATAGTTAATTTTAACTGAATCATTTTTAAGAAGCAATTCCATTCAACAACATTACTATCTTTACAATAGCAAAGTACAGCTTCATGTTAATGATATCTGATCATTCACTTCCTAGATTGTCATGTGCAAACAGCTGTAGTTAAGTAAGATAGTAATAGTGCCCTTTTTCTTATACTTCTTACATTGTTTATAATAGTTTTGCTTTCAAGAAACAGCACTATTACTAGAATGTCCTGAATATTAATATTTTATGAAATAATAATAATCAGCTTTTATAATAGTACATTACTTTACAATAATTACAATGTGGTTAATAAAGTCAGATTACAAATGAATTTTATCACAAAAAGATTTGTTAGTAGAAAAAATGATGAGTAACTTTAGCAAATGTTGACAACTTAGTACCTAATTTATGTTCTTTATAAGTAAGTATATTTGTATGATGTAAGGTATCAAATCTCTTATTCTAGACAAGTTTTAGACAATTTCTAGATCAACACAATGGTAAAAATGTATGTTTCTGTCTCTATAACTGAGTTTTGTCCTGATTATGTGGCAAATTTAATTCCAACCTAGAGGAAGCCTTTAAACAAATAAAATATGTCTATCTTTTTAAATCCAGTAAATTATTCAAATATTTTTATGTGTTCAAATACTTGTATTTGATTTTAAGTAATAGGGCATTTACCTACTGTTAGAAAATATTAATGTAATTTTATATATTTGACCAAAGACATTCCACTTAAGTAATGCACAGTCTAATAAAAATCCAGCAGTTTACAAAATATTATTGTTGGTTCTTCTGAGTTAAAATTGATATACCTACTTACCATTCAAAGACCAAATATGTGAAGGCAAAGAATGAGCGGCATAGACCCTTCCTAAAGCTAAATTAGCAGCTGCTGACCCTAAAACACTACCAGCCTCTTCTGCAGAACTGCTATCAGTCTCGGGACTAGCTCCAGTAGAAACGTCAAAGCTAGCCCCATTTGTAGGCATTGAAAGAGTCTCATGGCTGGCATGCAAATCCGGAACACTGGAAAGAGATCTTGCTCGTTGTCTGTCGTTAGACAATTCATTTCCTAGGGCTCGCATAAACCGAAAACCGGGCGCTGCGACCACTTCAGAACTGCTACTTGTTGAAAAAGCCCTTGTGCGGGGGCTTTGAGTACCGTTGGCGGTGCTTGGTTTAGCGCCCATGACTTTCTACTTTTGTATTGTTATCACAATGTTGTAAAGGGTTTATTAAATTACATATTAATGTTTGAAGTCATACACATGTCATAAATTACACTCATTTTCATCCGATTTGACAGACGTCATCTCGAATTGTTTTCACTTAAGCCGAATGATATAATATATACGGAACGACAATACTTAATTTTAAACAATATATAACTAGAATTTACTAATAACCTTCACTTATTCACAGTTTATTGATATTATTGTTTTTAATCACGAACGCGATAAAGAAAAGCATTGCAAAACATCTTGCCTAAATTGCTATCAACTTTACAATATGATTGACAATGACAATTGTGACTTTGACATTTATATCCTACCTTAATAAAAGTTAAAATCACGCTCAAAAAACTAATTTGTTTTGGTAAATTCTGTGCAAAAACTATGTTATACCAGCATGTAATCTAAATAAACATTTTATTTTTAGATTATGGTAATGTTTATTTTATATAACTATTATCTCAAAATTTTTAAATATCTATATTTAAATATGACTGCTGCCATCTATTAGTGACAAGATTGCCGTGTTTGTACGGATTTCTTTTCGGGCAGATTGTTTCTATGGAAAATATACTTTAAACTTTTATTCATCAATAGATGGCAAAATTGTTACAAAAAATTTAGGTAATAATTTTTGTTTTGTTTAAATGATTATTATGAGATTAAAGGATTAATAATTATTAAAAAATACTGAAGTATTAGATAAAGGTTAGCACAATAAATAGAAAAACAGCAAAAATAAGTATTATTACCAAATTATCCGATGGACCAATTCACTAAAATTTTGAATTTTTGTAGAACGTAGAATTTAGTAGAACCGTTGATTGAAATATTTTAATCAACTGTAGAACAGAAATGCAAGACGATCGAGGATCCTTCCCAGCTTTCTTTTGTTGTTGTATTGGAACCCTTATCACAGAATAATTTTTATTTATTCTGTGCCCTTACCCATAAGCCAAAATGCACCTATATAAACTCTATTTTTTGAAACCGTAGAATGCATAGAAAATATTACGAGTACACATTGTATGGAGTAATAAATTCTTGGAAAGTTTTCTAGAAAAACAACCATTTATGTTACCTTTTAGAATCACAGAAGGTGATTTGTGTTTAGAATGTAAAATAATGATAAAAGCTTGATGTAAATGTCATTTTTTTTTAATTCGCAATAAAATTTGTTATTTTTTGCTAGGGATGTTGATATTATTTAAAAAAAAAAACTAATTGATTGAAAGCAAGAGGAAAACAAAAACATTATTATACCAGGTGACTGGAAGGATAAAACTATTTAAGTAAATAGTAAATGATAATTTTCTACCCTTAGCTATTCGCTGACATGTTCCAAATCTGAAACAACTGTTAGTTTCACGTTTCGCTGTTGGTTACAAGATGTCACTGTTGGTCTCAAATCTAATGAACTATTTTTGTTCGGTGGTGTCAAAATTTCCTTGCCTAGGTCAAAACTAACGACCAGAGATATGTAAGAGAGCTCTCTCTTACATATCTCTGCTTACAATTACATATCACTGCTAACGACGAAGTCAAAACAACAAAGATACTGAAACTGAACGCCCCAGCTGAGGCAACACTTATTTCACAATGTGGGACAGAAGAGGCTGAAGACTCTTGTCTTCAGCCTCTTCAGAATCGTCTAGCGATTATGAACCTATAATAAATGTTGCTCAATCTAATAAACGAACGAATAAGTTAAATAGACAAAATGAATGGAAAATAGGTGACTTTCCCCAAGATAAATATCAAGAAAATATTATCTAACTTTCGTAAAGTACGACCACTTACAGATCCATGGTACCGTACTGAACCATCATAGCTCCAAACAGCATGTTTAAGGAAAGGTTATTAGATATGGGTTTAAATTTTGGTCTCAAAATGCATTAAATGTGGTGTTAGTGTTTATTATTATTATTATTTTTATATCATTTTTTGTAATACTTTTGAAACAAAACATTTCTTTTTTCTAGGTTCTTTTCTTCAGTAGCCCAGTGAATGCCGGTATATTATAATATTAAAGAACTTTGATTCAATTCGTAATTTACACAGTCTTTCACTTAACGCCTGGAAGTGGAATATATTACATTTTATTTTCTTGTCCACCATGAACGCCAGTGGCGCACTAAAGGGGGTTTGAGGGTTACCCTCCCCCAGGGCAATATTCGGACACTGTTACTCACAAATTTTAAGGACTCAAAATGGAGGTAGCATAAGAAATCGATTTTTAACCAAATTCCCCCCCCCTCCCACAGGAAAATTCTGGGTGCGCTACTGATGAACGTCACTCCCAGATCTTTACTAGATCTGTAGTGTTAAATTTTCTCCATTTTTTTATTGGATAGTAGTTTTTCTATTACTACTACCGCTTATGATAGTTATTGTTGTATTTATATTTATTTAAAATATTTTGCAGATTATCAAATTTTTCTTTTGTCACTACATACTCTAGTTTTTTAAATTAAATTATTATAGTTGTATTAATCTTAATTTAAATTTGTACTGAAATGTATATATTTATCTATTTACATTTCAGAAATTTACTTAGGTGAATAATCAATATGCAATAATTTTTTGCACTAAATACTTTTTTACACGGTATGAAAAGAAATTTTAAACGAAAATCAACGTAATTCTCATCCCTGCGCACATCCTCAAATCAATAATCGCCCTCATGCGCAACTACAGAATCATTGAACCCAGAAGTCGATGGCATATCTCTCCATTCAAGAATAAAAAAACTTAAAATTTTCTTTTTACAAGCCCCAACGCGAAGTGTCCATACTAAATGTAGTGGCAAACATTGAGCCGGATCCAAAAACTTCCACATTAATATGGAGGAAGAAAATTCCGACGGTCCCGTTTACGAAAAACTGGGCAAAAATAGAAGGGATGATGCTTTTACAAGAGCAGAAGTTTTGAATGAGTTGTCACCTCCAGTGGACAAGTACAATCTCATTTACTTGTCGTTTATGAGTGGAGGAATTGGATTTCTGTTACCTTATAATAGGTAAGTGTAGAAAACAGTTTATTTATACAGTTTTTCCATGTTTCATAACCCCTTGACCTTTCTTACGAACCGAAACATTGTGTAGCCAAAGCGCATCCGCAGGGTTTACAACAGGTGAAATGATTCATTTCGTTTTTGGTAATTAGGTGCAGCATCAGATGATTAATGAGCGACTGTCATAAATACAATGCTTTTAATTTTTGTAAGATTATTGTTATGTTTTAGTAAATTTCTCACACATGTCAGTATTTATGGTAATGTGTAATTGTTTATTGTTGAACGTTAATTTCTCTAAAATAGCGGGCGTTTTATTTCACTTACGAAATTCCGTTTTATTAACCGGTGATTTTGTATGTTAATTTTAATATTAGAATATACATTAAGCACTAAACCAAGCAAAGTTTTGTAACACCAATCAAAATCCAATTCTCATACACCAATGATACAATTATTTATTAAACTACTTTTACCTACGCTGTTTTACAGTGTAGTGCTTTTTGCTTTACGTTTAATGGTTTAATGCTAAACCAATTTTATTTATTTTAACCTGCACTGCCATAAAAACATATATCCTAGCTATATAATACTAAAAGTGCGCAAAAAAGATAAAAGTTCTTAGTACAAACTACTAATCTGCATCCAAATTATCTTTATCTTCGACAGAATCAGGATATACGTCACGTACACAACTTTCGCAGGAGTAGTAGGTCGCAAACAAATGTCGTGGCTACGGAACATACAAAACTGGACACGCATAAATAACACAGGCGATCTTTTGCATGCCGCAAAAGACAGACGTCTAGCCTTAAGATAATTCGTCAACGCATTATAGGTGCACGGCACTATAAGAAGACACAACTTTCGCATGCTTGATGAATAAGCTTCAATATTCTTCTTCTTCTTACGTGCCTATCCGTTCCGGATGTTTGCGATCAACATGGTTATCCTAACTTTACTTACTGCTATTCTGAATTGTTCGATTGTCGATGTATTAAACCAGTTTCTCAGGTTTTGAAGCCAAGATATTCTTCTTCTCCTGGTCCTCTTTTTCCAAATACCTTGCACTGAAGAATGAGTTGCAACAAGCCGTATCTCTGTTCATTCCTCATAACATGGCCAAGATATTCTAGTTTACGCTCTTTGATGGTGTTAATAATTTCGTATTCCTTGCCTATTCTACGTAGGACCTCAACATTATTCACACGATCTACCCATGAAATTCTTAAAATACGTCTGTAACACCACATCTCGATTGCCTCGAGTGTTCTTAAAGAAGCTTCGAAAAATGTCCAGGCCTCTACTCCGTATAATAACGTAGAAAATACATAGCATCTAATGAGAGAGATTTTGGTAGCAAGTGGTAAATCGTGACTTCTGAATAGAGACTTCATCATTATGAACGCTGATCTCGCTTTTCCTATGGTTTGTTTTATTTCACTGGAGTGATCTCATTGGCTGTTAATGTTGGTACCAAGGTACGTGTAGCTGTCCACTCTGTCAATTGGATGTTGGTTAACCAAAAGCTGTGTATTTAATATTTCGCGCTTACTGACTACCATGGACTTTGTTTTCTTCGTATTAAGATCAAGTCCGTGTTCTCTACTTATATCTGATATACGCGAAATTATTCTTTGCAAACCGTCCAGATTATCTGCAAAAACTACTGCGTCGTCGGCATATCTAATGTTATTTAGACGCATTCCGTTGATTAATACGCCTTCTTGTATTTCTCCCAGCGCTTGCTCGAATATATATTGAGAGTATATATTAAATAACACCGGGGACAAAATGCATCCTTGCCTCACTTCTCTATCTATGGAGACTGCCTCTGTCAATTGTTCATCCACTTTTATATTGGCTGTTTGGTTGTAATATAAATTATAGATGATTCTCAAGTCCCTATCATCTAACCCCACTTCTTTCAAAATGTTTATAAATTTATCATACTTTACTCTATCAAATGCCTTTTTGTAGTTGATAAAACAAATATACATATCACAGTTAACATCCCTGCATCTTTGCATAAGCACAGCGAATAGAGGCTCTCGGGTACCTAAGGAATCGCGGAATTCAAACTGCGTCCATGATACTTGTTCTTCGCATGTTTTATATATTCTGCCGTGTATCACTTTCAAGAACGTTTTAAGTAAGTGGCTAATTATTCTGTAGTCTTGGCATGTTTTGGCATTTACTTTTTTTGGTATAGTCACGAAGGTCGACTTTAACCAGCTTTAGGGTATTTTTCCAGTTACGTATGTTGTTGAATACAGTTGTTATCCATTTTATTCCCTGTTCATCGGGGGTCCTGTTTGGCATTCAGTGTCTTCAATGGTATTCTGCCTTTCATTTGCAAAAGTTACTTCCACATAATTCTTCCAAGTGCCTAGTTTTTCTTCCACAGTTAACAGTGATTTGCCTTGATTATTTGCCAAACAGCCAACTCTTCTAGGTCTGTATAAGCATGCGGCTTCTTTAACTTTTGTTTATATTACTTTTGTGTATATTAAATGAATCGTGTTTATGTTGCAATTGCTGTATTTCCGCACACTGTTTTCTTAGATGTGTATCTATGTGTATCTTTTTATCGATTCTTTTGTATAATGACATGTCTTGATTTTTGAACTTTCTCCTCTCTTCCATTATATCTAGAATATCATTTGTCATCCACGATTTCTTCTTTATTTTTGGTGGTTTGAGAAATTTCTCCCGTGTCTTTTGAAACTGTATGTAACTTCTCTAGCTTCTGGTCCATTACATCCGATTGAATTACATACGATTGAGTCTCTACGATTTCCTGTTTTGTCTTCCTAGTCAAGAAATGAAAGTTTCGAGAAAAATGGAGATTAAGTTAACGATACTTTCCAAACTTAAGTTTAACAAATTATATTAATTGCCAATTTTAATTTCTAGGGATTTAGAGTCATTGCTTGGCTGATTAAATAACTTATTTTCTTTATTATTTTTCTTTCTTATTAATTTTCTTATACAATATCAGCTGCAAAATTAGCAACTTGTTGTTTCTTTTATTTGATTTCCTGTAAACTCTGTTGTAAAATAATCTATGTCTTATTCTAATTACTTCAGTCAGTAGAGGCAAAAATGCCAGTTAAACTCTAAAAATCATACAAACAAGCTGGATTTTGGCTAAGAATGTCAATTTTTGGACCGTTTCAAAGAAAAAATGTAGCTGAGATAATTTTGAACAAAAATATTTATTACCATTTTTTGTGTAGAAGGAACCGTTCTCTCGGATACAACGCTTGAAGCGACCGGAGATATTAAATGTCAATATCAATAAATATATTTACAATAAGTATATTTACAAACAAATATATATACAATAAATTTAATAATATCAGTATTTCGTGTACAAAAAAAATATCAAATCTAACTGATTTTTTTTCTCTTTTCAGTTTTATTATGTCTGTAGATTTCTTCAAGACAAAGTTTCCGGATAGCCCAGTTGTGTTTGACATGTCTTCAGTGTATATTATCACAGCTTTAATTACGGTATTCGGTAATAATTTATTAGTAGAGATGTTCTCTGTGCACTCCAGAATCCTATTTGGTAAGTTAACAATTAATAGTAGGTATCTATTTATATATTTAACGTAATTCAATCTAATACTAAACAAGATGATGTTAAAAGTAAGAAGGCAGATATACGATGACCAAACAATGAACTAAAAATAATATTCACATAATTATGCCACTTCTCTTTAGATATGCGTTGGTAAACTTCTTTCATCAACCGTTCTACCGTTTTTTCTTTAAAATCGACATTGTTTGAAGCCACATACCTTTTCACTTGATTCCACACCATCCCAATCGAGTTCAGCTCGCAATGGTAGGGCGGCGGTCTCAAAAGCTTAACGCCATATTTTTCCGCAATTGTTTCAATTTTGTACTTGCATTCGTCTCTAAATGCGGCGGCAGTATCCAGTAATTCACTTTTTAGGTAATCACCCTCGAAGAAAATGTTCTTTTCGATTAACCAATCCTTGATTTGCCTTTTGTTCAATAATTTTTTCGAAAAACATATAATGTTCCTTAATTTTCTTAAATCATTCTTCATATAGATCCCTGTCCATTTTGTCGAGGAATCAGCGGTACCCTTCTTGGCCATGAAAGTTAATTCGGCCTATGCCACAAAACCAGTTTCTCTTCCAGCATGAAGAAGAACAAACCGAGGACCTAGTCCTCGTTGGTAGTATGTTTAACACAATAAATTTATTCACAGGGCATTTTTAGTGCTGTTGTTTATCATAGATCTATGTATTGTTCTGAAGCTAGAACGATTTCCGAAGTGGAAATTGAAACGTCAATAAACGTATTATTATCTTTAATTGTGGCTTATTCCCAGTTTAATAGATCTATGTATTTTAGGTTATTTAATATCTATGTTAACACTCGGCTTGGTTATGAGCTGTGAAGTATACTATGAGATTTTTGAAACATCGGGCTCATATGCCGCTAACTTGATTGCCGTTGCAGTTGTAGCAGTAGGATGTACAGGTAAATATTATTTAGTTACATTAAATTGTAATAGTGTACAAGGCTGGGATCAAGAACCACCTTGAAAATTTAAAACTCAACGTTTTTGCATCCATTTTAGAGCCATTATCAAGAGAGATATGGTTCCGTTCGAGTTCGGGTCTCAATTTGCTTACTCCTCTCACTCGTGACGTACCAGTATCTTGTTTTGTAGAAATATAAGAACCGTCAAACGACACTGAGGTCTCAATCTGCCTACTCCTCAGTGACGAGTGACTCGACTAACTTGTGATAATATATATATTAATGTATATTTCTTTAGTAGAGTTGATTAAGAACCAACCTATGCTGACAAATGTGGCAGTCCTTGAGAGAGCAAATGCTGCTCGCGAGCTGCTTGATAACATCAAATGTAGAAAGATGGCCTATTTTGGGCACGTAGTAAGGGGAGACCAATATAATATTCTTCAACTTATTATGATGAGTAAAATCGAAGGACGCAGAGGAATTGGTAGAAAGCAGGCCTCTTGTTTGAAGAATATCAGAGAGTGCACAGGAATAAAGAAAGCTGAGCAACTCTTTAGAATAGCTCGAGACAGAGACAGTTTCGCCATGTTAATCGCCAACGTCAAGGGGACTTGATAGGGCACGTTAAGAAGAAGAAGAAGAGTTGATTAATGCAACGTTTTTACTAGTTTTTTGCAATATTTTCCATAGTTTCTCGATAGGTACGGTATCATATGCTTTTGTTAAATCGACCAGAAGCAGATGTACCTTTCGAGATTACAGCGTCCTCTTCTCGATTACTTGCTAGACTTAAAAATAATTAACTTAAAAGTTTTAACTTTTTTCGACGAATGTTGTTCAATATGATTTATTATTTTCAGTTCAGCAATCAAGCTTTTATGGATATGCAAGTATGTTGCCACCTCAGTACACTCATGCTGTGATGGTAGGAGAAAGTAAGTACCTATATATAAATCCAAGGGGTAATTAAATATTGTTATTGAAGTTTCTTATTGAAGAAATTTTACTTGCTCTAGAAGACACCAAACCAATTAATTGGTACCTAAGAATTTAAATACAAATACACTATTATTCTTCTTTTCTTATTTTTTTCATTATTGCCCTAATTGTCCTAATTTCCTATTATTGGTCCACCATCTACTTTTCGTTTTAATTTCTATGGGTACTTCTTTTTATGGGTACTGATAAATCGTGGCATTTGAATAGCTTAGCCATTTCTTGAAATACAGATCTTGCTTTCTCTATCCTAGATTTTATTTCTATGAAATGGTCCCAATTTTCATTGACGTTCATACCAAGGTAGGTGTATATTTTTACTCTTTCTACTGGTTGATCATTCACACTAATTCTTTTACTACTTGCTTTAAATTACAATGCAAGGTAGAACATCGAGAAAATGAAGTCGAGAAACTAGATGAGAAAGCAACTCAAAGCATAATTCATGAATTTTTGCCATTTTCATTACGCTCTTTTCAGTCGGTGCATTGCATTGGAGAAACAATACTTTTTTTTGCATATGGAGCCGTTTCTCACTGATGTCCTGCTTCAACTTAACCAATAATGTTCAATAATATTGCTTATTGATGGTCTTACCTTTTTAAAGATACTAAACTAAAATTATGCTTTTAGAATCCCAAAATACAGTGTCCGTAACCTTTCCGATTCATTGAGCCACTCTTGGTCGTTTCAGAGAACTTTTGTCGGCTTCAGTCTGATGGCTAAAGCTTGCATTTAACTAGCCAATCAGCTTAACGGATACATCTCTCAGCACAGGAGAAAAATTAATATTCCTATTGGTCTGATGTTTGAGACATGTTAAGACAAAGGAAATCGGACCAAAAAAGGAGGTAGATTTTCTAGCATCATTCAGTTCGAGCTTTCAAATACAAAGTTGTTCTGATCAGTAGCAGTCTTATATGAGTAGATTTTATTATAAAAGCCACTTACATCATTAGGAGTCAACAGATATCACCTTTTTGAGCACAAACAATGCGAGGATCTGGATGAGCTTCTTTACTATTTCTTACGAATTTATTGAGATTTTTGTCCCACAGGTCTTTATTTTTCTCTCGCTTTCTCTTCTTGGCACTATTAATGTCGTTTACAAATATTGAAAAATCACTTGTGACACAATCTAAACTGATTTTATACTTATAACACACGTTTTCGATTACTCACTTGTTTCACCTCAAACAGTCAACATAGCTAAAAACTCGCAGCAAATAGATGGGGACAGCTGGAATCGCGCATGCGCTAACACTCAACAACTGATTTAAGCCTGTTTGGAAAAGAACAAGGCATGACTAAAGCACTTTTGGAAAACATTACTGATTTGTAATGTGTATAATATACTTGACTTAATCTGTTATGGCATAAAGTGTTTTTCTAATATTAGAATTGATGCTTTAGAATCAGATCCAACTGAAACCTCAAAATGTGAAACAAAAAATTACTTAAGCCCTTTTGGAATCCACTTCTTCATTTCCTGTCTTTATGCATTCAGTCAAGGAATCACTCAGCACACATTGGGTCGAGCATCCAAGCCATTTATATATTTTTTGCTCTATCTTTATCATTGTGTAGTGTTTTTACACCATATTTCTCTCTTATTTTCGCTACAGCTCTAGTGATATTTCCTTTAGCGATCATACACTCGGGTTATAATATCTCCAGACTTGTGATAGTTCCCTGTAAGGACCATACACTGGTCTATATCCTACAAAACTCCATCACCCTGGGTACCTTATATTGCTAGAGAAGAAATGGTGGATACTATAATACCATACTAATACGTAAAGGTCTAGTTCCCAGGACCGTACTAAGCCTGATGAGCCAGGTATGGGCCCAAAACTCCCTACCGACGCCTCTCGGCAACAAGTCTACTGCTGTTCAACCATTCAGAACAACACTTTAATTTAATTTGTCTAATTGTTCTTTTATCGTTATATGTTCTTTATTATTTTAAAATAAGTGTATAAGTACATAAAATTATTATTTTTAGGTGTAGCTGGCGTCGGGACGTCTCTTGTAAGAATCACAACAAGATTTTTTATAAAAGATTTACGCCAGAGCACCATAGACTTTTTAATGGTATCAATAACTATAGTAGGACTGTGTGCTGTAATATATCCCCGTATAAGAAAGACTGACTTTGTACAATTTTATTTAGGACTGTGTGAAAGAGAGAAAACTAAAATAACGCTTGAGCCGAGAGAGGATGCTGGACTGGTAAGTTCAAAAGTATGAATTTATAATTGTATTATTTGTTTTGAGAATTTAAAGCGCATTTTTTTAAATCTCAATAGATACTTGTGGCTTAATAAGGGCTAGATAAAAACACGAACTTTGTAATACCGGCGTAACCAATTGGTGGAAATAAACGAAAGATTTGTTCCACACATTAGGATGGCGATCTTACTACCATTTAGAGCGTACCAAGTAAGGTAATTATTTCCAAGTCGAAGGACCACCCACTAAAGTGGGAAATTAGAACACAAGCATTAAACATTACGTAATTTATTGATTAACTTTGTTACTACAACTAAGTTAAGATGTAGCCCAAGTTTTAGCGCAAAGTTTTTATATCTAAACCGCCGATCACTGTCCAATTTACACGCGTCCGCGAAACACCACACAAGAGCACTGTTACAGTTTAAACATGTTACTAATAAAATTGTCACATGAACCAAGGATGTTTTCTTCAGTATTAATATACTTGATTAATAATGAGTGTTTGCGAAACATGTACTCTTTAAACTATAAGCTATATAATAATAACTAGGTATACTTAATACACGAGAGTCTAAAACTCTTAAACCAGAAATGTGTCGACCCCTTTAATTGAATACTAAACGGACACTGACTAATATGCGAGAGTTGAAAACTCTAACCAAGACGCGACCAGCTAAGCTGGGATACAATGTGACACTGACTGCGTGACTACTTTTAAATTATCACTGCTTCACGTATCAGGGATCAAAGCTTTGTAGTAGTTTTTATTCAGTCTTTCATTTTTAAATAAAACCTTTTCGCATTGTAATACACGAATGCTACTACACAGAAACATTCAAGCTACGATTTTAACAAGAACATTTTAATGTATTGACCACGGTTACTAAGAGAATGGTGTGTTTGTTTAACACCTTATTATTCTTCACTCACCATTCATTGAACTGATGAAGCTTGTAAATTCCACAAGCGAAACGTCTTCAAATATAGGAATGGAACTGTGATTTCCTTGTATTATTTCTCCTTTGACCTATATCCTCGTGACCAAAAGATTTATTTCTTTTGAAACTTACTTCATTGTATTTATATATATATATATATATATATATATATATATATATATATTATATATATATATATATATATAATTTTATTTTTTTTCAGATAGAGATACAGGACTCTAGATACGGTATTTTAAAGATCCAGACAAGTCCTCCACCAGCTACCTCAAATGTGATGAGCTTTGCCAATCCCGTTTACGAACCCACGGATTCAGGGATAAGACCCACATACAAAGTTGAAGATGTACTCATTACTGGTGGTATAACGGTAACCAATAATGATCGATTCGGATGGTCTTCCTTTAAAGGTTTGTAAAATATTTATTGTTATATTTATTTATACTGATGAAAATACATATCCATATACAGGTATTCATATTTAGTTTTATTTATGACCAAATATTCGAAAGTTTTAAAAAATCCATTCTATATTTCCGTACAAAATACTTTGTGTATGTATTATATACACTCATGGACAAAAATATGGAATATGTATTTTGAAATGATCGTAAATATGTTCAATATGATGGGTTCATGTTACCGAAACACTTTTTTCAAAAAAAACAAGATTATTTAACACCTCAAAGGAATAATTAAAAAAATTAAACAAAATTTAAGTAAATAACTTTAAAAAATGGTTAATTGGCTATGACAAAGCCTTTATATAATGAAAAAAACTTTCAAAAAATAAAACATTGAAATTTTTGTAAGGGAAAAAATAGCTTGAATCTACGTATTACTTAAGACGTCATATTTTATCGTTTTGTATAAAAAAAACCATAAAATTAATAATGAGAATTCCCTCACCGAGCGTTACAATCGTCTTGGAATGCTATGAAAATATGTTTGAGGCATATTTCTCCCAGTGTCATAGAAACAGGATTTCTTTTGCGACTGCGACACTTTAAACTGTCCCACAAATGCTAAATCGATTTAAATCCGAGCTATATGGTGGTCAATACAATCTTTCAAATTGAACCTTATCAAGGTAAACATTCACTATTCTATCGACATGAGGACGTTCGTTATCGTGCATTAACACAAATCTGTAATTACCAATATGGTCCGCAAATGGCAAGACGTAATATTCTAAAATATTTTCATTGTACATGGCCGCTATCATTCGCCCAATCACCTCCACATGTTTAGTATGTCCTTCTCAAGCAATACCGTCCCATAGCATTATGCCGCCATTAAAAAAACTAACGCTATGTATGAGGTTAAATTGGCATACTGTGCGCCAACTCTTCTGTAGACGTAGTTTTGTTCATCTGGCTTCTATAACTGGATTCTGGTCTTATTTGTGAATAAATATTTTTCCCACTGTCAACTTTTGTCGTTTTGAGAGAGCCGTGTAATTTACCAGGGCGTATGAATTTTAGGTTAGTAACATTAACGGCCTTGCATTTAATAACTAGTTTTTAAGATGCGTAGATGTCAATGAGAATGAGCGATTTAGTAAGCTCTGAAGAATTAAAAAGCTGTCGATTGCGGCACTTGTACACCGCTTTCTTTCCTGACCCAGCCTTTTTCTGTAATTTCCTGCAATATCTTCTTCCATTCTCTCTTATAGAATAGAATAGCAATATGCTTTATTGTCACTGAAAAGTGTACAATTTTATGGACAAGGCCTACAGAAAGTAAAAAAAAAAATAAAAACAACCATTAAAATGTGCTAAAAGTACATAAATCGTCAATATCACAAAATAAAACAATAAGATGTCACTAAATTGCAAATTGCATAATAAAACCCTACGAACTAGTTTACGAATAAGTTTAAGCTGCTGCATATGATATTCAAATATATATGAAAATACTTTGTTGCTTATACCTAAACGTACTGTAATTTCTTAGTTATTCGTTAAGAAACTCTTCCACTGAATAATATGATATTTCAGATAGACAGGCTTTAGTCAATTTACGGAACTAAAGGTAAGAAGTTGTAGATTTAAGTTGCAAAGGGAGATGGTTATATAATTATTCTGCCGAATATAATATAGATTTCTTTACTAACTCCCAGGACGGGATGGAGTAGTCATGATTAGGTCTTGCTTTGGAAAATATGTATGTGTTTACGAATCAAGCAAACAGTTTTTTTAGAATATATAGAGAGGGAAAAGTTAATGTTAATATCCCGTGATTTTTAAAGTAGCTTCTGCAATGTGTTATTCTACTGAGGCCAAAAAAATACCGTATTGCTCTTTTTTGTAATTTAAAAATAACATCAGATTGTGCAGCTATACTAGAACCCCAAAAGGAAGGCCATATCGAAGATGAGACTCGAACAAAGCAGCTGAGGCAGCTAAATGAGGCTTTTATAAGTCTCTCAATAATTTTTGATAGGATCGGTAGTATGGCAATAAGTCTATAGTTGCAGACATTCGATTTTTCACCACCCTTATGAAGAAAAATAATTCTGGCTGTCTTTAGACACTCTGAAAATATATATTTTTCCATAATTAGTGAGACCAGGACTTTCAACATATTATTTGGGAGATTTAAGAAAATTTTTATTGATAGCCCTACTATCAGTACTACAGGAAGATTTGCTATTGACTGATTGTTTGTATCAGTTCAGATTTATCAACTGGACTTATAAAGAATGAATTCGAGACCTTTTTTTTTGAATTGAGGAGATAGGAAATAGGATCTTGTTGTGGCAAAATAGCTGAAGTTATATTTTTATTCACATTAACGAAGTATTTATTTAGATTTTCAGGGTTTGGAAGAGAAAATGTTTAAGCTGTGTTAGTTTTATTTCGAAGATCGTTTATTATGAACCAAGTTTCCCTTGCAACATTTTTAGAGCTTCCCAGACGATTTTCATAGTCAATTTTTTTAGCTGTTTTGATAAGTTTTGCTTCTTTTCATTCGCTTGAACATACATTCGAGAAGAGCTGTAAACCTTCTATTCGGAACTTTTTCTGGTCTTCATGAAGTCGGACACAAGCTGTATCTGTGTCATAGATACTCTAAATCAAAGTAGATAATACATGGTAATCTGTAGTCAATGCGGCATTTAGCTAATGCTCGCTGCATTTTATGATGTATGATGAATCTATAATATCAAATGTCCTTTCGTAGTCTACGAATATAAGAAGGATAGGCTTGTTGTATTCTGTTCACTTTTCCATTAGCGTTTTATTGACTTGAATATGATAATTTATTTTACATCTGGAACCCAGTCTGTTTGCAAGGGTGGTAACTATCTAGTTTGTTCACAAGCCATTTTGTTATTATCTTCATGAATAGTTTGTTTGTATGGACGAATAAACTAATAAGTATGTAGTTCTTTAAATCTGCTATGAATTATCATAGGGTAGTCTGAATAAATATATTCTAAATATTAATATTGAGTCTCGAAGATTTAAATTAAATTTATTTTTGGTCAATAGCTGATTGATTGTCAGCTTTTCTGACGATTGCTGGTTTGATATTCGCCGATAATATTTTCATTAAAAGGTTAATATTAAGGTCTATTGAGATTTTTATAGGTGTATACCAATGGATGATGCTAAGATGTAGCATTTCCGTTTATCCCTTTTTTATTGATTGGTCAAATGAACTTCGTTTGCAAATAGAGATGAATTTTATCTTCGTTCTATATCTTGTTAATAACCAAGGTAGTTGTGCTACTAGTATTTGACACTTAATTTGAATAATTGATTGATTATAATGATTGCGATGTTGGGTAATGATTTCATTGAAGATATACTTTTATTTCTTTTTATAGAAGGAATGAGGGCTAGATGGACGGTCACACAAAAGATATATCCATATATGATATCAATATTTTTGGTATATTTTACTACACTTTGCCTCTATCCTGGAATCACCTCCGAAGTAGTAAGTTGTCACATGGGCCAGTGGATGCCGATGTTAATGATGATTGACTTTAATTGTGCGGATGTTATAGGTGAGTATTAGAGTACACTGGGCATTAATAATAATAGCTTTTCTTATTATAGTTGCGACAGTTAAAATTTTACGTGCATTTTATAGTCCATACTTTTTAGGTGTCGTTAAGTTCAATTCAATCTTTAATTTGTTTATAATAAATCGATTAAGCCTTTATGTATTACACTTTGTACATACATTGACGTATGCAGACTTTTTGTATTTGCTATAATGATTGGAGGATGGAGGTATTACAAAGGTAATTTTCGATCACGATAACAGAAAAATCGTTTAAACAGTTTGCAGAACAAAACATATTCAAAATATAATTTAGCATTAAAAAGTATAAGTTCTATCCAAACAAGATTCAATGTTTACAGGATTAAAGATAATTTGGATTTTTCTTTGCAATATTGTTAATTTATTACAAAAGCAATAGGCATCGCAATTTTTTATGTAATGGCTGGTTCTCAAGTGAGTATTGTCAATGGTGGTTTCTTCAATTTCGTTTTTAGCATCCAACAAAAATAAAAATCTAGAGGAGCTAAATCGGGTGAACGAGGGGGCCATTTTATTGTACCGTCTGTAATAATGCCACGCTCAGCAAAAATTAACGTTAAATAGTTTCTAACGGCTTTTGAATTATTTTGCATTATGTGCAGGACAGCCGTCTTATTGGCACCAAATATCGTTGATGTTAATTTCAGGACATTGAAGGTCAGGAATAATTTGAATTTTGCAGTAATTGGAGATATTTGCCTGCGTTTAAATTGCCTTCAATGAAAAAAGAACCAATAAGATGGTCTCTTAAAATTCGAGTCCAAACATTCAACTTTTGTGGATACTACGTACGCACAGACACACTCAAAGATACCAGCAACCAGTAACTCCATGAACATAATGTTATGAACCTTGGACTGTTGGAAGTTTATGTAATCTTCACCTGTGGTTGGCTAACCAGCCACAACGTAGACTATTAATATATATGATATTTTGGATTGACCTCGCTTGTATATTCTTTGTTTCTCTTAACCAAACACTGGGGGGGAAATGGTGTTCTTAACCACCTTTTCCTTTCATTTTTTGTTTTTTTACAGACAGGTTATCACTTTAATAAAGCTGCCTAAATTTAAAATTAAATTTTAACTATTGATATACTATTGGAAGTGCATCTTAGATCTTTTTAGTTCTTCTTCATATTAATGTTTTTTACTTAAGTTTTTTACATTTTTTTTATACATGTACAATTACCACATGTTCTTTTGCTGTGCTAAGTTTGAGCAAATTATTAACTGTATTTAGTTCAATATATCTTTTTTATTTCAGGTAAACTTATGGCATCCACTCGTTATTGGACCGGGTCCCGTTTGCTAAAATGCTCTATAGTAAGACTGATGATCATTCCCGCCATGGCATTGTGCGCTATGCCTCCTATTACAAACTTTGGATTTCTCAGTAGTGATCTCTTGGCTTTCGGGTATTCCATTCTCTTAGGGTTAACAAACGGAGTACTTGGCAGTGTGCCGATGATACAAGCACCCACAAAAGTCCCCAGATGTTATCGCGAACTTGCTGGTAAGTTTTAGTAACGAAATTGTTAGAATTGATAGGAAAAGATCGCTATATCCTTTGTCCCACTGTCTAATTCATAATTACAAGGAAATAATGTATATTTTTATTTATCTATACAGAGTAATTAGTAAAAAGGTTCATCCCTTTTACTAATTACTCTACTCAGCTAAAGCTTCATCCCTTACGTCTAAATGGTCGTATCTTGTAAGTTATCATTTTTAAATACATACTGTCAGGAATATATTAATAAGAAAAGATGATTGTTTTGGACAAGCTTTTTAGCTATCTTTGATGGATTATCTTTCGTAATGGGTTATGCCTTTTTTTATATTCATTTCTAGAAAATGCCTGACATCTCCTGGTCAAATGTTGTAAACTTTTTGGGCTTAAGATCCATAGCATCTTGAACTATACATTTAAGATCATTTTAGGTTGGAATTTACAGATTCTAAATGGAAAATATGAAACACATTTTCATGATTTTAACCAACAGTTCAACTCTATATTATCAACATATTCCTGTCTGATTTCATTGAAATGCTGCCCATGTAACGCTTTTTTCATCAAGATGGTCATTTTTTCTTCATTCGATAGATGATTTATACACATTTCTTGTTCTCTCAGCTTAAGCCATGTGTCATCCGCAAATTGCGATGTAAAATATATGTCCCAGTCTACTTCTAAAAATAAATTCTTATTTAGTGTTAATAAATTATTATATTTATTATTATTATTATTTTGTGTACTTTCAGGAAACATGATGACACTTTACTATATGTGCGGTTTGGCAACTGGATCGCTTGGAGCATACGCCTTGGAGAAAATTCTAAGACCGGCCAAGATGCAGCGGTATTGCGAGTATAGAGCTGACAGGTATACCAGAATAGATATGTCCAGAGCGTTCACGAATCCAAATGTTACCGATCTCACCACATTTAGTACGGAATCTTCTTCTTCTATATTGGTCTCAACTATATTGTCTTCTTTATCTACTATGAACTTCACAGAATCTTTATAAATATATTTTTGTTAGACGATATTATTCCTTATTGATTGAGTTGTTAAATGTATACATTAAATGTTTTATGTTGGACTATGTTTTGTTTTTTACAAACAATTTTAGTTCATAAATGGTAACTCTGTTACCATTAAGTTAAATATATGGTTCATATACATATACTTAACAGAAATTAAAAAAATAAAAAGAAAAGAAACAAAGAAAATAAAAGAAACAAGATGAAAATCATGTTGTGATTGAGATAGTAAGCCTTTACATAACCAAGAAAGTTGCTTTGTTATAAGACTGTGGAAGAGCTTAGGAATTGCAGATTGTATACAAATGCTACGATAATTTTCAATATTGTCTTTCTGACCATTTTTAAATATAGAAACAACATCTAGCTTTTCATTTATGGTCCATTTCTAGCTTTTGATGTATGGTCATCTGATACTTCTGAGGACATTATTGACTTTTCAGCTGGTAAAAACATGATCATAAGTTCTATCCATATTTCCCTACAAAAACATACACAAAATCACCTGGATATTCTCTAGAGGGAACCAAATAGACCACGCCTTGATAGAAAAGCCATCAGCAACAAGCATTCTGGACATAAAAAGTAGGCGAAGTGCATGCTGAGGCTCAGACCACTACTAGTTCAGGTACATTTTAGTTGTATAATCAGCCGATAGGCAAAAAAGAATCAACCAAGACAGGGGATTCCAGATCTGGGAAAACTGAAAAGACCCGAAACTCAAAATAAATTTGAAGAAGGAATAATGAGGAAGCTGATTGAATGTGAATAAAATGAAGGAAAATCATTTTGGAAGACTAGTGGAAGCTAATAAGTAGAATATGTAGTCATGAACATAACACATAATAAACATGAAACCATTAGGAAATATGGCAAAAGAATACTCAACAATATAAGTACCTAAAGGAAAGAAAAATGAGCTACTTTGGTTACATGCTAAGAAATGAAAAATATGAGTTAATGCGATTTGTTATACAAGGAAAAATGAAAGAAAAAAGAGGACCGGGAAGACGATGCACATCGTGGTTGAAAAATTTAAAGCAGTGAAGTGAAAAAACAACAGAACTACCGAAGACAGAGTAAAATAGGCTGTAATAATCACCAATGTCCCTAAAGTATGAGGCAGACGAAGAAGAAAAAGCTACGCAGTTAATACAGTTCTATATATTTCTAAAAATTGATTTTAATAATTAAAAAGGATTTGGAAAATATAATAAATATAACAGAAACCAAAGTCGAATTTGGAGGGAAATGAAAAGCTAACAAATTGTAAGAAAATTCTAGAATTCGTAACGAAATTGCCGTATAAACAGTATAATTAATGACCCGAGAAAAAAATACTTTATATTTTTATTAATATCCACAAATTTCTCCAAGAATTAAGATATCTGATCTAATATATTGTAACTAACAGCTTGAAAAGTGTTGTACAATATTGTAAGCTTATTGCCACCTAAATTGTTTATCAAATATATCAAAAACGAATACACACATGCATTACACATTATTAAGACGCACATTTTCAACGTAATCACCGTACATCCCCCAACTAAAGACCAATCGACCAAACGATCCGATAGTTGTTATGACTACCTTTTGCAACCCCCAACTAAATTTATACATCATATCGTGCAATCTATGACATTGCACACTGAAGTCTGCACTTCAAGGGTAATACAATGTCACATAAAACTTACAATGAACTTTTTAAGAAGACCCAGGACATTCTTAACGAAACTTTGCAGTTGGAACCCGTTCAAGCTGATAGAAGGGATGATAGAGATCTTTTGGCTAATCTATACGTGAGGTAAGTAAGTAATAAAATTTTTTGAACTGAATTAAAAAAAAGCTTTCGTAAGAAATTGTTTAACTTGTAATTATTGTAACATTAACTTTTTCGTTTCTCAATTTTTTATCCCTAAGAGTTAATTATAAATATCTTTATTGCAAACCAGTGGAGTTACAATTTTTTTATGCACTTATTAACATTTTTTATTATTTTTTACCGTACCTACTTAGTTTATTTATAAAATTTTGAATTTTGTATTATTATTTTGACGAGCTTCTCTATATACATGTTACTGAGTTCTTGTCTGTAGGTCTTTATATTACTAGTAAATTTTGAATTAAATATAAATTGTTTCAACATTTCTACGATTTGCCATTTTCAATGAACCTTTTATTTTATTATTCTCTGATTTACACTAGATGTTACACTATTAAAAGCTAAAACTAAAATGATAAAGAACACAGGCAAATAGATATTTCTTAAAATAGAAATACCGCTGTTTTTTGTGGGTACCATTTAAACATTTCAATCCAGATGTTTGATGTATACGAAACGAAAAAACACTTCAATATTGATATCATTAGCATATGCCGGAATTTGCACTGATTTATTATATATTGAACCAGTGGTTGTGATTTGTGACATACGTATGACTTTTTACAGAGCCAAATTGAACTTATACAGGAGAGGTCTCCCTGGCGCAGCCCGTTATTTGTTTTAAAAGGTTTAGACAGATCCCCCTGAATTCGTACTCTACATTCAACTTTTTCAAGAGTTAGTTCTATGAAATTTACCAAATGATTTAGTATTCCTAGCTCTTTCATTGCTTTAAACATTTCTCTTCTATTCATAGAGTCGTAGGCTGCTTTGTAGTCTATAAATATGTGATGAGTATCAATGCCATATTCCAGTGTTTTTTCCAAAATTTGTTTCAGGTTTGCAATCTGATGAATTGTCGATTTAACACCTCTCAAACCAATCTGATATTTTCCTACTATCCGTTTTGCATATGTTACCATACGGTAACATAGTACTGTGGAAAATATTTTATACGCTGCTTTTAAAAGCGCAATTCCTTTGTGGTTAGACCATTCAAAGATATCTCCTTTTTTGTATATGGTGCAAAATATTCCAATATTCCAATCATTTCTGTGTTCATATTTCTTTTATAAGCTGCTGTAATACCATTATGGTATAATGGTCACATTGTTTATATAATTCAGCTGGGAGATTATCTATTCTATACTCTTCTCTTTGTCTGGTAATTCTTTCTCTCAGTTGTTCTAGTTCGTCGATTAAGCATCTTTCTATGGATTAATTTTTTTCTTTTGTTGCATTCTCGCCTTCTTGCATTCAACGGTAACCTACTAAAACTTTAATATACTGATACAAAATGAAAATCTACATACTATACTGAAAAAAAAAATGTTTTTTCAAGTATGTGTCAATTTGTGATTGTTTTACATTTTTTAATTAGATTGTTTATTGTTTATTGGAGAAGAATACAGTATGAAGAGACAAACAAATAGTAACATTAATACTACTAATAAGGAGGTCCGCACTGCGTTAATTAAAATGAAAAAGGGACGATCTCCAGGACCTGGCAATATAGCTGTAGAGTTACTTAAAGCAAGAGGTCCACTCCTAATAGAACGAATGACTTTTCTAATGAATCAATGCTGCCAACAAATTAAAGTACCATCTGAATAGAAAACCGCTCACCACTTGTCCATCTTTAAAAAGGGTAATCAAAACGATCCTGACTGCTACAGAAGATTAAGTGTCTTACCTACTTTCGGGAGATTGTTTGGAAAGATAATAAATGGAAAAATACAAGCTTGTTTATACTTCAACAATTGATAGAAAAAAGAAGAGCGGTTGGTACCGAAGTATATCTAGACTTTATCAACCTAGAAAAGGCGTATGATACAGTTCCAAGACTTAAATTGTGGCAAGCTTTACAAAAACTTGGCATTAGTCCATACCTTTTAGGAATAATCACAGAAGTATACAGGGATAACACTACTTACCTAAAAATCGGAAATAGACTATTAGAGCCAATTAAAGTAACTAATATACTAAGACAAGGATGCAGTATGTCACCCTAACTGTTTAATTTATATATTGAGGCAGCTTTCCAAAATTGGAAAAATCACTGTCAGGGAATGGGAATTCCCATAAGAAATGACGTACTCGCTGAACTTTGCAGATAACCAAGTCGTCCTAACTCAAGATTCTTATGATCTCGAATTTATGATAAAGCGTCTATATAGAGAATATATAAAATGGGAGTTACAAGTCAGCATGAAGAAAACAAAATATTTAGTTATCAATTCAGATGCAAGGTTTGAAGTGTTGATAGACGAGGACGTGGAAATCAAACAAGTGGAAACATTTAAATATTTAGGTAAACTCATTGATAAGAACTGCTTGGGAGAAACCGAAATTAAACACCGAATTAATCAGGGACGTAAAATTGTAGGATGTCTGAACTCCTTATGGTGAAATCCCAATATTTCCAAAAGAAACAAAAAAAGAATAGGGCAAGCCATGGATGAATCAGTTCTTTGTTATGGCTCTGAACTTTTAAAATATTTGTGGCAAAAGGGCTACCTAATGCTTTTTTTCTTAACACACACAAGGATAATTTGTCAATACGACAATCCTTAAAACAACGCAGATTCTTACTTTTTCCAATTATTAATGAATCTTCTTTCGAACCGTCCATATTTGCACATAGCAAAATATTCAAACGTTGTTCGAGAAGACGATAAACGTTTATTGGTAACAGCAGCAGTTAAAACAACTGATAGACCTGAGTTTGTTGTTGGGACCTGAGATGTATTTTCAGTTTGTAGGCCAATAAGTCACATTATTTCTGCTGTGTTATTTTCTTCAGATATCGCATCATGGGACCATTGCTGAACGAGAGGTAACGCAGCACCTAAGCAGTAACCTAACCTAACCTAATCTAACGCAGCAGCTATAGCGAACTGAGACGTATTTGTCACAGCAACTGAATTATCTGCTTGTTGTGAATGTTACATCAAAACGTTTTCATAGTCGAGAAAGCTCATTACTCGCAAGCTGAGAAGGCTGTTCATTGCAGTTGTCTTTCAATGGTATGTTTGTGGTTTCAGCGGGCTTATATATAAAATCCGCAAATATTTAGGTTTTAGCGGCCAGATGCCACTGCTTTGAAATCCGTGACATGCATTTTGCACCGTAGATGCTTTGCCATTTGCTTCATTAAACAAACCGGCGATCTAAAGATGCGTAACAACACGTCGAGTATGTGACTTCAGTAATTTAGCAATTTATTCAAAGACCTACTATAAAGGAGACGTCAAGAGGGTGCATACGATGAGTACAAACATGACTAACGTTTTCTTTTGCATATTCCAAAGTTTCAATGCCTTTATGACTTGTATGTCCATCGACAATTTACTTTATCGCCAATGCTTGCGTTTACAAAACTTTCAAACTGCTTTATACATTTCATAAATATTTCGGTGGTCATCCAGTCTGATTGTTGAGCGACACCCAAAGTGCCAGGAGGAGCTTCAGTAGAGTCGGTAGCAGCTGTCACAGTGACACTTTCAGAGTTCGTTAGAGAACTCTGTTACTTAAATTTATAGTTATCAGGTGTTGGTGTTACTTAGTGTTGGATTATTATTTGTATAATCCTAAGAGTTTAGTTCTGCCGTTTTCATCGTTTTTTTCCAAAGTTAACGTTGTTGTGAGTTATTAATTTTCCGAATTTTTGTTTCTAATAAAAATGTGTAGGTGACCATACTGAGAAAATACCGACTTGAGTTTGTGAATAAACACTTAAGTCGTCTTATGGCGAAGAGAGCCAGTTGGATCTTGTTGTCTCTTGTCGTCCCGTTGGTGACTTATATTACCAGGCGCGTATGAACCGTTACATGTAGACAAAAATTTAACCTAAAATAGTTCAGTTTGGTTTGATATTGCAACTAACACGTGTCCAGAAGTTTTTTGTTTAAATTGTCTGGTTATTTTTATATTTGTCTTTATTTAAATTGGAAAAATATGAGTGGGTTTTCAAGTAGATGGGAAAAAATTAAAGAAGCTTCGAGAAAAAGAGAAGAAAAAGAATTTAATGTTTCTAGTAAGAGCGATTCTTGTGGCCTGGTTATTTCTGAAAAGAAAGGTAAGTTTTTCAGTTTATTATATCTAGAAAGATAGATTGGTTAAAATTTTGATGTTATTTTAGATGATGATAGTGATTACATGAGGCTAGAGCCCAATACTAGTTTAACTGAGATGATTTTGAAACAAATTGTGGAATATACTCTAGATTCATATGAGAAGTACACATACCAGAGCCTGGCTATAATCCCTGCTCCAGTAATAGTAATACTCTCTAACAATATTATTCGCATCACTTCAGCGATGAAAGCTCCATGGAATCGTTTAATTTTTGTTAGTTTCAGCATCTACGGCATCAAAATTACAGTCTTTTGCTGATTTAATTAGGTTTGATGTATATTTTATCAAGCGTATGAGCAGATTCAGTGTAAGTCTCACAATCGCTTACATATATTTATACTCGTAGAGAAATATGATTCACCTACTAACATTTTTAGCATGATTTTATTAGTGTCTAGGACTTGTGCAGCAGCACCATTAGCAGCAACAGCGGTAGTGACAACCTGGGCAATCAAAAAGTTCATGAAGGTTATTTTCCAATGATTCCATTCCTTTGCTGTTAATTTCACAGATGGATGCCCGTCGAACCTCTCTGGTTGTAGATTTATTTTTACGTTTTTTGTACATTACCAATTGTACCACTTCTATTTGATATATTTTTTAGATATATTGGTATCTGCAATAGACTATCAATATGCGTGGACCAAGTAGTCCAGCCTCAAAAAAGAATGCTTTTACTAAAACTACTCGAAGCAGCATTAGGAAGAATTTTGGAATTAAAAACAGATTTAGTCGAAGCAGATTTAAACGAATTTACACACTGCGGTGATACTATTGAAAATTTAAGAATTACGCCAATTGACAGAGAACTAATTGTACCAGAATGTTTTACAAGAGAGAGACAAGAAGAGATTGAGTATAATAAAAGAGTTATAGATGAGGTGAGGGCTGTTTAAATATAAAATAATGCAAATATAATAGTTTAAAAAAAGGAAGATGTAGGTAATATATCTACAAAATACATCATATCACAACTTCTTATTACAGAATCATAAGCTGGTTTGAAATATACAAAGAGTAGGTTTAGCTTTAATCTACGAATCATTTTTAACACGAATATTTGATCTATAGTGGATCTGCCCTTTTTATGATACCCCTGTAGTTTTCGCTAAGTAGTAGATCTTTTAAATTTTACGATTACCTACATTATAACTTTTATGTGTACTTAAATTGTTTACTTAATTTAATAATTTTTTTATGAAATTATTTCTGTTTTGTTTACATATTTTTAGGTCCTTTCTAAACTAGGTTATCTAGATAAGACTCCTAAGAAAACACCCATGACCGAGCAACAAGCAATTTTAATTATTCAAAAACACGAACGGGCTCGACAAGGAAGGCTTCGCCAACAATTTATGAAAGAGATTAGAACGATGAAAGAAAAGAGCAAACCAGTGCAAGAAGACGCAGAAGAGGAAGCTAAGCGTGGAGGAATTAGTCTGACAGCTGCAATGAAGATCCAGAAAATTTGGAGAGGATACATTGCCAGAAGAGCTACTAGGAGAAGAAAGATACAAGAAATGCTACTCATAGGAATGATACCGCCGCTTAAGACGAAAAGTGTTGAAATCGAAAAGGATTTGGAAAACAAGAACTACAGGTAGGTAGTAATTTATTAATTATTTTTGAAATTAAAACTTAAAAAAAACAAAATTAAACCAAACAAATCCGACTATAAATTAAACATGCTATAAGATAAACAGATTTTTATGAATATACTATCGAAAATATGATGAAAAAAAAAGGATAATACAATAAAAATTAGAAAGTTAGAATGTTTCGGCCGTGTAATGAGACATTAAGAGAGGTATAACCTTTTACACCTCATAATACAGGCAATATCGCTGAAAGAAGGATCCCAAAAATGTTGAAGTGATTCTTACTTTGGCCCTAAAGGTGAAAGTAAAATCAGAAAATATCGGAAAAATGCGTCCCCCTTAATCAAAGATTGACCTGTCGGTGCGTTTCACAAAAATGTCGTAGTTCCTGGTTAATGCTTCCGTTTCGTTTTCGTCCGACCATCCTGTATGTATAAATAGTTCCTTTATCGCCAGAGTGGATGAATCACAGCGAAGATTGTCACTCTTCCTGGACAATTAAAAGGGGTTTTATTAACTGCAGTTGTATTGGCCTTCCGACGGAAGATCGCTGCAACCAATAAATGAATAGCAATTTTAAGAAACCTCTTAAGTTTTATTTCTCACCTATATGAAAAACCTCATCGAACTATTAAGACTTCACTTCAAAGAAGGTTCTACAGCTCTTTCAGTATTTGAATAAACACGAGGTCTCATGACTTCGACATTATTAAACAAAAGAAGAGTAGGAAACTGACGTTTGTGATTGTCCGACTATCTTTTGTCGAGATAAAGAAAAGTCTGGAAACGGACTCCGATCTTTGAAATAGATAAAATGTAGGCTGTTTGAAAACTATTTCGGATCGTGTTACGTGTTTGATGTTCGGATCACCGATGGTTAGGAGTAAATTGATGCCCGAGCGGACTTAGAATAACTCCTCAATCGGTGGACGAGCTAAAGCAGCACTTCGTCTCCAAACCATTAGTTGGTAATAAACAAAATCCTTACGGACCTTAGAATTATTTTACGAGAGGCGGCGGTACGGAGTGAGAACTTCGCTGTTGAGGGTGATTGTGAGAATAAATAAAAAATCCGAAGTAAAGAGACACTCTGCCAGCAGTACTATACTTCGAGGAGTGTAAACTCGGTTATTTTTTCTGAGGCTCGAGGGGCCGGTATCTCTGATGATATTCAAGGCTTCTACCGTGCGTATAATACGAACACATATTTTATGTAAGACAAACATATACATTCTTCTTCTTCTTATAGTGCCGTGCTGTGTGCGTTGGCGACAGTGGCGGCTCGTGACATCTGCTATAGGGTGTGCTGCATGAACCACGGTCAATATAAAATAATAGAAATAGAATAACATACGAAAACAAAAACAATAAAATTAGCTTTAATACTAATTAATAGTAACTAATAACGACATGCTATAAAAATCTGATTAACTTACATTTATTGCATTTTTCTAAATTGGAAATTAATACGCCGGTCCTTTTTTGTCGCAAACTTTTCGATTACTTTATCGTTAAAGTTCGGTATTGAAGCGATGAACTTTTTTTCTATCGAGAGTGTGGAAAGGGCTGTTAATCTGTCTTCGCACATTGAATTTCTTAAAAATGTTTTGATCCGTTTTAAAGTTGAAAAACTACGTTCAGCTTCTGCTGTGGTCATTGGCGTAGTCACCAGAATTTGTATCAACTTTTTGGTTTCTGTTAATGTGTCCTCTAAATTATTAGAAATTATAAATTTTAGTAAAGGCACTGCACCTTTTAATGTTCTACACTCGATATTGGAATACAAAACTGACAGTTCTGTTCGCAAACGGTTTTTATCAAAGAAGTTATAAGCTGTACAAGTTAAATCCAATTCATTTTCAGGAAACTTATTATTATATTTTTCGAAATGTTCTGAAGATAAAAGTGTTGCGGCAACTAGATGATTTGTATATGCAAACCGTTCTTTTGCATTGTTTATAATAACATCACAAACTTCTAGACAGGCAATACGGTGATCCTGTTGGCTGTTATTTGGGCGTTTCCTTTTTTGGACACTAGGCGCCGCATTTAAATTTGAAGCTTGATGTATGATAGGGTCTATTTTATTTCGGACATTGTTAATACTTTGCTCAAAAACATGTATAGCTTTCTGTGCTTCGGTTGGGTCCATGTTCTTTTTTTGAAGATTATTGTACAAAACGTCAACATGTGGCATAATATAATGAAAAACAGTCAGCCAGAAAGTAAAATTTTGATCTTCCAGAATACGTCTAAGTCCTCTTGCTTCCTTGGAAGTAATAGCATTTGACTCTTCTTCTAGTTGCTCCATACACTCAATAATAAAGTCTCTATATTCGTAAACGACATTTACTGTACGAATATTGAAATTCCAGCGTGTAGGGATTGAACGAGGAATATTTTTTCCAACTATTTGATTTAAGACAGCTATTCTTTGAGGTGAATGACTAAAAAATCCAGGTATATCATGTAAATCTCCAAAAAATACGCGTACTTGGGAATTAATAGAACATGCTCTTGACATTATTAGATTCAATTGATGGGCGTAACAGTGCACAAAATGAGCAGTTTCATATTTTCTCTTAATTATTGTTTGCACTCCGCCATGTATCCCACTCATAACAGCTGCTCCGTCATAACTTTGTGCAATGAGCTTATTTTTGTTATTCTTTAATATTGGGTCTAAAACATTCAAAATTGTGTTAGCTAAGGTTTCAGCATCATGTTTTTCTGGAAGCAAAAAAGTCCAAAACCTTTCAACTGGAGCACCGTTTTTTACATAACGAAAAACAATGACCATTTGAAATTTCATAGAAACATCCGTTGTCTCATCAGCTATCACTGCTAAAAATGGGGCTTCATTGATTTCGTTTAAAATCTCCTCAGCGTATACTTCTAGCATGCAATCCAAAATATCATTTTGTATTGTTTTTGAGGTACCTTTGAAAATTGTCGCATTTGTAAGGTGTTCACTAAGTGTTTTATCAAGTTCAGCAGAAAAATTCACTAAACCACGAAAAATTCCAGGGTTATCTGATGTTTCAGATTCATCGTGTCCTCGTAAGGCGAGCTCAAAAGCCCCACAGAATTTTATACAGTCAATTATTTTTGACAAAACATACCTGTTTTTCGTCACCTCTTCATTGTGTTTTTGTATATTTATCCAATAAGCAGAGTCAAGTTGGGCCTGTATATTAAGTTTCCCAAATAATGCAAATCGCATTTCATTGTTCATATGAGTTTGCGTGTTTTCATGCTTCTTTATTTTTTCACTTAAATGCACTAGATCCCGCACTCCTGTCTCGCGCCACAATTTTTCCTCTTTATCTGCGCCGAATAATGCACACGGAAAACAGAAAAAAGCATTTTTTTTCGGAACATCCACAAATCCACTGATTTCGTAGATACATGTCTTTATTAAATTTACGCGTATATGTTTTTCCACGGCTTTTACCGGACACTTCAATATTAAGATCAGGCATAGGACGGCCACGTTCTTTTATAATCAACTGTTGTTGATAGTGAAGTTTTTGAAATTTATTTACACCTAATTTAAATTGAAACTCCATTGTTTTAAACACGCTCGAACAAAACAAATTAAACAAAATTGTAACCTAAGAATTTCTAAACACGGCACAGATGCAACGGTCACGAATAACTGTCGTGAATTGCAGCTCGCAAACACATTTCCGAGGCCGTTAATCAGCCGATTGCCGAAGCACATCGGCTAAGATCGCCGTTTGCCTAATAAATGCATTTTACCGCTGCCAGTGTTTCGGTTGTTATCGACGCGGCTTCACTGGAGCAGCAAATACGTAAAAAGATTGCTTCACTGGAGCACCAAATACGTAAAAAAATTATACGGTTTCACTAGAGGAGTAAATACGTAAAAAAAATAATATTAATCATCGTTGTTGGTGAATTATTATTAACAGTTTATGTTTAATATGATAATATGGCAGATTTGAAATAAAACTATATTAATTATTCTTTAATAATTAAGATTTGCTATGGTTGTTTGGTAGTTCTGCAGCTCAGCAGCACATAAAGAAAAGCCGCCACTGGTTGGCGAATTATCTTAAGGCCAGACGTCTATCTTTTGCGGCATGCACAAGATCGCCGGTGTTATTTTTATGCCTGTTTAGTTCTTTATGTTTCGTAGCCACGACATTTGTTTGCGACCTACTCCTCTCTTGCCTTCAATCTTTCCCTGGATGATTAGTTGAGGGATTGTGTATTTTTTCCTCTCAGAATATGGCCAAGGTATCCAATTTCGGTATCGATACGGCATTTTATTTCTTGTTGAGGATCCCATTGGTCATTCATCATCATTCCCAAGTACTCGTATTTAAATGTTTTCACTTGATCGATTGGAACATTATCTACTTGCAGTTGTATTCTTAAAAGTACGTTTTTTCTTATTGTCATGCATTTAGTTTTTCCAGCATTTATCGTCAAGCCATATATTTTTCCTACGGTGTTTATTTTATTTAATATCAACTGCATATCATGTTTGTTGTCTGTTATTATCGCGGTGTCGTCGCCGTAACGAATGTTATTTACCGTGATCCCGTTTACCTTTATTCCACACTTAGAGCCTTTCAGTGCCTCTGCAAAAATGTTCTCCACATAGAGATTGAAGAGCATAGGAGACAAAATACACCCCTGTCGCACCCCTCTTAAAATTTTAAATTCTTTGCGTCATGTTTGACGGTGTCAAAAGCTTTTTTATAATCGAGGAATGTTATGATTATATCGTTTCGTTGATCCATGCAGTTTTGTAAGAGCGCATTCAAGCAGAAAGCTGCTTCACATGTACCCAGTCCGCTATTGAAACCAAATTGTGTCTCACCGCTTAGATCTTCCAGCTTTTTGAAGATTCTTGTGTGAAGGATGCGAAGAAACACCTTCGCATAGGGTGGGTAGAAACACCTAAGAAAATGGCTCGTTAAACTTATCAGTCTGTGGTGTTTGTATTTTGTCGCTCTTTGTGATTTAGGGATCATTATAGTAAAGGTTGTATAAAACTAATCCGTTGGAATGTAGCCGGTGTTATATATGGCATTGAAAATTATTACCAGCACGTCGATGTTATCATCTTCCAACAGTTTTATGGCTTCCGTAGTAATTCCATCCAATCCAGGGGCCTTGCCTAGTGTTGCTACCTTCATAGCGTACTCCACCTCGGCGCGAATAATGAGAGGGCCCGATAAATTTTCCGTGGGTAAGTTAATAGTTGGCAGATTCGGTCTATTATCCGGAAAGAGGTACAAAACATAGTTTGCCCAGACTTTAACTAGTTTTTCCTGGGTATGAACGTAGTTTTCTTGATCATTCTTCAGACGAGTTTCATGGTATTTCTTGTATCTACTCGAAATTTCTTTGACCTTTTTATGTAGTCCAAAGCTGTTTCACTTTTCTTGTAGTGATTCCAATTCTTCACAACGTTCTTTTATCCAGCTTTCCTTTTCATTTTTAATCCTTGCCCTTAACGTGCGTTAGATTTCCTTGTATTCCTGTTGATTATGATGTATTTTCTGATATATTTCTGAAGAAATCCGAACTGTTAAATTATTCTACACTGCCTGTAGCACCTTGAGGTGCCAAGGATTCATATTAGAAAATAGTTTTCGTGTTAGTTTCTTTTATAACATTGCAATATATTAATATTTATCGTATCTTTAAAAATATTTCGATTACCAGGAGAAAGTTACAAGTGGAGCGACGGAAAGAATATGAAAAATCTGTTAAAAACATTAGGGAAAGTCTGGAGAAAAATCAGAGGGGAGCAGTCCTGGAACAGTTAAGCGACCAAGTACGAGCGTGGCTACAAGAATATAAAGCCACAACAGGAAAAATACCCGAATATACTGGAGAAGATAGAAGTGCTTCTAGGAACCTACTAAGTCGACAAGGTAATGTTATATACACTCAGGTTAAAAAAAAATACAACGGAGAGAATTTTGGTCAAATTCAAAGTATTTAATTTTTTTTATTTTAAGGCCTATTTTGATGATTTTTTTAGCACAGTATGTAAAAATTTATAAATTTTAATTTGGTATAGTAAGTTTTTTAATAAAATTTTGTATTTGACTTATTATACGGGGTTAATCAAAAGTAGGTTTTTTATCCTAACTTTGAAACTTCTCGTGGAATAATTCCGTTAGCGGATTTTCGTAAAACCTTGTATTTTGGTTGCAACCATGTCTTCTAAGTATTATGTTTTTTGTTTTATGTAGAAATATGGATTTGTTGATGTTTAGGAGCGAAATGACTTTGTCACCCACAATGTACGACTTTTCCTATTATTATCATTATCTTTTGTATTAATTTTTAATACGACGATAGCTTTGGTGACTGATATCGAAGGAATCTTATACAAGGAATGAACAATGATAACAATAACAAAACATAAAAAAACAACTTAAATGTAACTTAACCTAAGTACGCAAATAATAAAGAAAAACTACTACAAAATAACTTAATATTTTGTATTGCCTCCCCTAGCCTCTATAACTGCCTGTACACGTCGGCTCATGTTCATGCATAAGCGAAGTTCGTTAATTGAGACTGGAGCGATCTCTAATATTTCTACCAAGCATGTTTCAAACGTGCTCTATTGGGTTCAGATCTGGCGGACACGCTGGCCAGTTCAATTTATTAATACCAATTTTCTCTAAATATTGCGTAACACACATTGCAGACTGGGGTCGCGCATTATCTTTCATTAATAGAAAATCATCGCCGATATATTGAGAAAAGGGTACTACGTAATTCGCGAAAATTTCCTCAATATACCGGTGTCAACGAACCCTCAATAAATTCCAATTCAGTGTGCGCCTCTTGGGATATTCCTGCCCATGCCATCACCGAACCCCCTCCATGGCTAACGCGGAGAATGAAATCGCACTCCGCAGATCTCTCTCCAATTCCAATTCAACGCAGCGTTACCAGACCTAGGGAATTTTGAGCCAGTTTAGGGAAAAAGGGATTTTTATTCAATTCTATGGAAAATCTAGGGAATTCTTAATATTTGTAAGAATATTTTAAAAAATCAGTTTTATTTAATACACTTTCCAAAATTGCACATATTATATCATCTACTTGGAAATCATACTATTCGTGGAATCACTAAATTCTGTTTATGTAATTTCCCGTCGGAAACTAGAGTGGTGAAATTTCACGAACTCGAATTACGTCGGGGATCTACCTGGGCTAAAGTATGTATTGGCGTCGCCCATCGGGTGAATTTGGTTTCTAGTTTGTCTTTCTCTAACTGTTTATGTGATTCCCCGTCGATGACTAGAGTGGTGGTATTTCACAAAGGGCGAATTACGTCAGGGATCCACCTGGACTAATATATCTTAATACTTTGATATTCTTACCCTTCTTAGCATAAATACAACTATAAAACACTTGTGCAGAAGGGGCAAAAATAATTATACTAAAAACATATGTGTACGACTAGAGGAACATGCTGAACGCCAAGAACCTAGAGAAATTTTCTAAAAAGTCAAGTATCTAGCGAGAGAATTCAAACCGCAAACATAGATCATCAAAGATAATAGTGGAAATATCATAAAAAACCCAGACGGCCTCGCAGAGATGTGGAAACAATATTGCGAAATACTATTTTCTAACAACGACCGAGACAATAATACAGAGAAAATAAGTTATGAAAAAGAACCTCAAATATTGAAATCATAAATTGACGTTGCAATTAAAAAGCTAAAATCCAGAAAAGCAGGAAGAGAAGATGGAATAACAGCTGAAACACTCAAAGAAATGGGAGAATTAGGGATGGAAGTAATGCTTAGAATTTGCAATGAGATTTGGAATACCGGAAAGTGGACAAATGACTGGGGTAAACTTGCGTTAATTCCCATATATAAAAAAAGGTTTACCGACAGCTGATTCCAGTAATTACCGCACAGTAGCATTGATATCACACGCGAGCAAAGTACTTCTAACCATCATTAATGAAAGACTATAATTAATTCTCCTACCACAAATTCCCCAAGAACAATGCGGATTCGTCCCAGGTAGAGAAACAAGAGAACATATTCTTAATATTCGTCAAACTATCGAAAAATCTCGAGAGTGCTTTGTTGACTATTCCAAAGCCTTCGATACCGTAAAATGTAATAAAATGTAGCATACACTTAGTGAAATGAGTACTGAAGAACATCTAATCTATTTATTACAAAAACTATAGGTAAATAATACCTGTTAATGTAAGAGTTAATAATGTGATTTCGAAAAACATCAAATTAAAATCTGGAGTTCGACAGGGATGCATAATATGCCCTATTCTATTCAATGTGTATAGTGAACATATGCGTCATGTTGTTGAGGAAAGTGGCAAGGTAAGTTGACGCAACGATAAGAGGAAGAAAAATTAAAAACCTGCGTTATGCTGATGACGCTGTATATTGGCGTCATCACCAGAAGAACTGGAACAAATTATGAATAGGCTAGGCACGGTGAGTACGGAATATAGTTTGAAAATGAATATGCAGAAAAGCAAAGTGAACAACCAAGCAGAGATAAAAAACATGGCAGGTTACGAAGTAATCAGGCAATTTAATTACTTAGGCTTATTTATTACTAACAGTGGAGGATGCGAAGACAAGATCCGTCGACGCATCACAATGAAAGTTCGGCAATTATCGGCAACAGTTAAACTCTCAAAAATTTGGAAGAACACTGGCATCACAAAAAATACAAAATTACGCCTTGTTCGAGCATTGATATTTCCTATCGCCACCTATGCTTTAGAAACTTGGACAATAAAAAAAGCTGATTCAAAGCGTATAATGGCTTTTGAAATGTGGGTCTACCGTAGAATGTTGCGCATACCATGGACCGCTTATCGCACAAATAACTCCATTCTAGCAGAACTTAACATAAAATTAGACTCATCACAACTATCAACCCAAATATACTAAGACATATAACTAGAAGAAGAGAAGGCATAGAGCAAATGATAGTTGAAGGTAACGTAGCGGATAAAAGATCCAGAGGAAGATCTCCAGTACGATGGTCGGACCAAATAAAAGATATGACTGGTTATTCATTCTCCGAAGCAAAACAACACGCACAGAAAAGAGATAATTGGACAAAAATATTTAAAAAAATTACATGACGCCACTATATCCTTACGAAGGAGAAAAGATTAAGGAGAATTCTTACCTCACAAATTCACGAACAACAAATAATACCAATCGCACAGAATGAATGTTTATAACCAAAAGTCCTTATTTATTCTACAAACAATTAAAATACTAATATTTCCAACTTCTTATGTGGCCAATAAACTCAAATCAAAAATGTTTAGAAAGGTTTTTAAAAATCCCGCTCATTCTGACGTCAGACTTAGGTGGTCCATTCTAGACTAAATATGGTTGTCTAGTTGTTAGGGAAATCTAGGGAAATTTCGGCAAAAATTCTAGGAATTAAAAAAAAATCATCTGGCAACCCTGATTCAACGCCATACTTGTTCTCTCCCATCTGATGAGTGAAGACAGTATCTCGACTCGTCCGTAAAAAGAACATTACTCCATTGTTTTAAATTCTACTGTAAATGGTAGTTAGAAAATTGTAGTCTAGCCACTCTGTGTCGTGGAAATAATTTGGGCCCAGTTGCTGGTCTGCAACTTTGCAAACCAAATTCATGTAATCTTCGACGAACTGTAAATACCCTTACATTATTGCCTTGAGCCCCTTGAAGCTGATTTCTTGTTTGCACCGCTCTGTTAAATTTTTAGTTTCTCTATCGATGAATTTCTAGTAGGTACTCTTTTCTTTTCATTAGCATATCGATGAGAAGTTTTTTTATATTATTGTATATTAGACTCAAACCATTGGTTTCATAAAATGTTTATTAAAAATAAAGTATAATAATAACAATTTTATAGGAACGGATAGTGAGTTGAGTAAGTCAACCCAAATTTCTTCAAAAGAATCCAAGACCAAAAAAGATAAAGGAAAAGCCAAAGAGGGCAAGTCCGATGATGTAGAAGAAGATCAATCTACTAAAGCGCTAGTATCGACATTTGTTCCTGAGTTAAATCTAAGGAAGGAAGAATACGATGAAGTCTGGAGGAATAAAGATGAATCCGGAAACTTCCGACAATATCACTATAGGTATATTATCGAACAAGAGCAAATGGCAGAAATGGAAAACGAGTTAAGAAAAGTTGTCGATGAAATGATGCGAGCAGAGTTAGAGCTTCTACAAGTAAGTGTATAATTTTTTGTTTTTGTAACTTCTTTATTAATTAAAACAATAATAGAGTAGACGCGCTTTGAGGAAACTGGACGACTAAAAGATCGAATTCGATCAGGTAGGCCAAAAACTGTTATAAATTACAACAAAACTTTAGATTTAAATAAGAGTTTATTTAAAGATCCATATACATCCTCACGCAGAGCTGCACAAATACATGATGCAGGTCATTCTTTAATCTTGCGTGTATTACATAATAATTCATGTAAACCCTACAAATACCAGTTGTTGCAAGAAATAAATAAGGATGACTACGACTGTAGATAACAGTTTAGTGAGGTAATGATGAACAAAAATTGTAACTGTCGAGAACTCCGTTAACATAGATGTTCTTCCAAGTAAGCAATATTTCGTAAATCGGCAAAATTTAAGGTATTCGAGTGAGGTAAATCTTCACTGGATACGTAAAACCAAACTTGAAGATCACAAAAACTAAATCTTTTATTTTTGATATTATTTAATTGGGGTTATAATTATAAAAAGGAAATTCAGCAAGCAATAATTATTACGAAATAGAACTTATAAATGAAATTGTATCTGCCCTGAAAAACAAGTTTATAGACAATTTTAATGATATGGTTTTAGCAAGATGGAGCTCCAAATCGTTTTGGTGTAAATATTATGTTACGTTATTAAGATCAGACATTTCCCGGATGAAGGATTAATAGATTGGATAGTATTGAATGGCCTCCTCATTCACCCGATTTAAATCCTAAGGATTATTTTCATTGGGGATACTTGAAAAGTAGAATTTATAAAACTAAACCAGCAAGTGTTGCAGACCTAAGGCAAAGAATGATCAATGAATCCATATTAATTTCTAGAGAAACATGGAGAAATGTAATAGACGCATTCTACCATCGTTTAGGATACTGACAACTTAACAACTTGGCATCTTCTGTAGATGTTACTGCTTCGCTTGTAACCTGAAACTGACACCCAGTTTCAGGTTACAGGCGTGTCTCACTCCTTTATCTATGGAGATTGTCTGTGTCAACTGGCCATCCACTTTAATGTTGGCAGTTTGGTTGTAATATAAATTATATATAAATCGCAAGCCTCTATCATCCAAGCCCGCTTCTTTCAAGATGGATATGAGCTTGTCATGTTTTACTCTATCAAATGCTTTTTTGTAGTCGATAAAACAAATATATACATCATAGTGTGATGTATATATTTTGTACAACTACCATGTATATACTTTGCATCTCTGGATAAACACTTGTATAGCGAATAGAGCTTTTCGGGTGCCTAGGTATCGCGGAATCCAAATTGTGTCCATGATACATTTTGTCTATATTCTGTAATGTAACAATTTTAAAGATCTTAATGGAAAAGTGCATCGAGTACAACATAACACTGGCTCTTGCATTTGTCGATTACGAGAAGAAAAAGAAACATTCAGCTTAGTTCGAGGAGTTAGACAAGGAGACAATATTCCACCAAAATTGTTCACGGCAGCTCTAGACTCAATATTTAAGAGCACTCAATGGTAAGATATGGGCATCAATATAGATAGAGAAAGATTAAATCACCTAAGGTTTGCAGATAATGTTGTATTAATCGCAGGTAAATTACATGATACAGTTTCTATGATGCATTCGCTTAAAAGTCTATCTGAAAGAGCAGGATTAAAGATAAACTTTGAGAAAACTAAACTTATAACAAATCTCGTAATGAGTGGAAATGTAACTATTGACAATAATATCATACAACAAACACTTACAAATATCTGGGACACGAGATCAAAATAAGCAGAAACAATCAAACACATGAAATCCAGAGCCGAATAGACCTAACATGGGCAGCATTTGGCAAATTAAGCCGTATTCTAAAAAGTTCAATTCCCATGTGTCTCAAGTGAAAGGTTTATAACCAATCTGTTTTGTCTGTACAAACTTACGGAGCAGAGACTTTAACACTCACGCAAAATCTGCGAACAAACTCAGAGTTACACAACGAGCCATGGAACGTGCAATGCTGAACGTGAACCTTCGAGACCACATAACAAACCAACAAATCAGGCAAAGATCAGGAGTTCAAGATGTCATCGAAAGAACCACGACGCTTAAGTGGAACTGGTCAGGGCATTTAGCCAGAACACAAGATAGACGGTGGACAAGAGGTATTATGGAATGGACGCCCAGAAACTATAAAAGAAGCCGAGAACGACCACCGACTAGATGGACCGATGATATAAAACGTGTAGCGGGAAACTGGCTACAAGCGGCTCAGTGTAGAGAACACTGGAAAGAACTGAGGGAGGCCTATATCCAGCAGTGGACGCGATTGGCTGAATGATGATGATGATCATTTTTAAAAACGTTTTAAGTAAGTGGCTCATTAGGCTAATTATTCAGCAGTCTTTGCATGATTTTGCATTTATTTTTTTTGGTATAGTTATTCTCTCTAGTCTCTCTTCCATACTTAGTAGTGGATTACCTTGGTTGTCTGCCAGGCATTCAACTCTTCTAGGCTTGTATAAGTCTGCAGCAGCTTCTTTAACTTATTTGTGCATATTGAATGAATCGTGTTTCTGTTGTAATAGCTGTATTTCCGCACATTGTTCTCTCAGCTGTGTGTCCTCAGCCATTCTAATTGCTTTTTAGGTCTCTTTGTCTATTATTTTTTTGTATAATGTCGTGTATAATCTTTGATCTTTCGCCTCTTTTCCATCATATCTAGAATCTCATTTGTCATCCACGATTTTTTCTTAGTTTTTGGTGGTTTAAGGAATTTTTCTTGTATGTATTGTGAAACTCTATGCAATTTTTTACGCTCCTAGTCTATTAAATCCGTTTGAATAACAGTATTCAAATTGCTATGTATATACTGTTTTACTGTTGTTAGCCATATTCTGTTTAAATATTGATGATTTAATTTACTTTTTTTTTTAAGGAAGCATTTGATAAAGATAGGGGACATAAAGGAAAGAAAAAATCGAGTAAAAAAGCCAGGAGAGGAGGCAAAAAAAGTAAAAAGAAGAAAGAAAAAGACTTGACTCCCGACAGGACAACGGAATCACTGTTCGAGGAATTAGTGGCTAATGGAATCATAAAAAAGTAACTTTGAAAATTATTAAATTATTTCAATAAGAAATCTTTTTGTATAAAATCATCCTTACGTCTGTCTTTATGGTTTACTGATTTCTACTTTCTATAAAAACTAATTTGTCTGTTTTTTCTATTTATGCATATTTAGTCCAATAATTATGTATTTCAGGTATCCAGAAGTTAGAATAACCGATTTCCAAGGAGAGATCTCGTTCTATCCACCATCCAAATATAACATCGGTTCCGATCCTCCCATTGCACTTGGCGACATTCGACAAGTTCTCATAGAATATTGCGTGGTTCCATTCCTAACCCCAAATCTACATCAAACTACCCCACATGTAAAATCCCTTTTACTAACAGGAAGTAAGGGAAGCGGTAAGAAAATGTTACTACATGCTGTTTGCACCGAAACAGGATCTGTGCTTTTTGATCTGACGCCATCCAATATCGTTGGAAAGTATCCAGGAAAGTCTGGACTGATTATGCTTATTCATTTAGTTTTGAAAGTATCCAGATTACTTCAGCCTTCTATTATATACATGGATAATGCGGAGAGGCCTTTCGTTAAAAAGATTCCTAAGACCGATAAGAGTGATCCTAAAAGATTGAAGAAAGATTTGCCAAAAGTTATAAAAAGTAAGTTACCACCAAAAGTTATTAGCGAAGATGGTTGGAAAATATATTTTTTTGCGTTATATTTTATCTATAAATATTTCTTTTTTAGATTTTAGCCCTGAAGACCGGGTAATGTTAATAGGCACATCCAATTTCCCATGGGAATGTGACCAGAAATTGTTACAGCAAGTATATCAGAAATTTATTATGATACCGCCTCCAAACTATAGTTCTAGGTATACTGCATGGAGTAATCTTCTTGGGCAATATATGCCAGTAAACTGGCAGTTTGATATGGGTCTAATGACGAGGATATCTGACGCCTATACTATAGGTGAGTAAATCTTGATCTTAAAGCAGTAAAAGAAGCTTCAATTGTATGTACAAATATTTTTCTATTTTTCTATTTTTCTAAGCGATCATGCTAGTTACACATAGAAAAAAATATAATAAGATAAATTTTGCTTAAAATCTGTTTCTTAGTACTTTTGCAGTTAACTATTAAAATGTAACAAATAAAATATAAATATCAAATCTGGCATCCGTATAATAACTTTTGACGTTTTAAATTTACATATAATTGTTAGTTGCGTATTGGGAACGGTATTTCCATTATTCTATTTATTTTGATGCCAAATCAACACTAGACCAGGGCGGATCTGTTTTGACGTTAATGTAAAAGGTGGCATTCGGATTTTTGCAGAAATAGTTTTGCAGAAGAGAGGTTTAGTTACGACATTAATATAAGTTGCAAGCAACAAGGAAAATTTCATAAATTGTACATGGTGCAAAGTATCCAATATTCCAATCACTGGGAAGGGACTTCTGTATCCATATTTCTTTTATAAGCTGCTGTAGCGCTATCATGATATCGTGGCCACCTTCTTTATATAATTTCGCTGGGAGATTATCTATTCCGGGTGATTTGTTTCTGGCTAGTTTGTTTACAGCGTCTTTAACTTCCAGGATCGTTGGTGGATCCTCCTTTCTTTCGTCTGATTCGCTTATCTCACAGCTTTCATCTTTCGGGTTTTCTTCTTCTTTCTTGATATGAAGTATCTGGTTAAAATATTCCGTCAATCGCTTTAGTACGTCTGTTCTTGTTGTTAATAGATCGCCATTCAAACTTCTACATTGATTTGTGTTTGCCTTGAATTCTTTTTTGTTTCTTTCTTATAAAATGTTCTGAATTCTTTCTCTCTGTTGAGGTTTTCTATATATTGAAGTTCCTTTTTTAGCTTCTAGAATCTCTCAGCTTCTGTAAATTCCATTTCTTTCTATCTATTTTTTGTCTTTGTTGGAATTTGAAATTCTAGCCCTTAGTGTTGAGATCACTAAACAATGGTCTGAGTCTATGTTTGCGCCTCTATGACTTCTGCAGTTCGTTATGTTCGTTCCGTTTCTTGAATCTATTAAGATGTGATCAATCTAACTACTTGTTTCTCCATCAGGGGAGGTCCAGGTTACCTTGTGTATATTCTTGTGTTCAAAATAGGTGCTAGCGACGATCATGTTCAGTGCTGCTGCTAAGTTTATCAGTTGTAATCCATTATCGCTACTAATGTTGTGTAGGCTATGCCTTCCTATAGTCGGCATAGAAACTCGCTCTCGTTCTATTCTTGCATTCATGTCACCTAGCACTATCTTGATGTCATTTCTGGGGCATCTTCTGTAGACTAGGTTCTAGGTCTTCGAAAAACTGTTCTTTAATGTCTTCTAGTTTATCGTCGGTCGGGGCATGTGCATTAATTAAACTGTAATTAAAGAATTTTCCCTGTTAAGTGTAAATGGCACATTCTTTGACTGTATGCTTTAAAATCAATAACTAGGCCTTTTGTTCTTTGGTTTACTATAAATCTCACTCCATGTATGTGTTGGATTTCATTGTAGCTACTGAAACACCAGCACATTGTAGTTTAGCACATTGTGCCAAAACATCTACTCTGTACATGTTCACTATGTCTAGTAGAGATGCGAGTGATCCAGCTCGGTATAGGGTTCGGGTGTCCCATGTTCCTAATCTTAATTCCATTTTTCGTTTGCTAGTCGTCGTCGTAAGTTCCGTCAGGCTAATAGTTTTCAAGGTTCCGCAACATATGATTTTTACAGGAAGAGGTTGTTAACCTCTAGCCTAACCCCACAACCTAGAGGGCCAGGGACTCTGTTCGGTTGCCATACCAGTCTGTTTTAGTTCACGGTTGGTATTTTATTTCCCACCTTCCCGCCAGTAGGGTGTTCCCCTATCGACCACCTGGGATGCGTCCGATGGGCGACAGACAACATCTATACAGATATCTTCCTTCTTTCCTTTCTATATTTCTAATTTCCGTACTGCTTAAATCTTCTTCTACTTGTTGTCTCCATTTCAGATTAGGTCTGCCTCTGGTTCTTTTACCTGGTGGAATCTATTCCGTTGTAACTCTTAACGAATTTCTCTTCTGTCTTCTCATTATATGTCCATACCATCTAATTCTTTGTGCTTATATTGCTCCAACTATATTCTCTTGACCCATCCATTATTGTATTTCTTGATTCATTCATTGTCTTGCATCCTCTTCATTTTCCCTCTTTGATCCCAGTATTTTTCTGATAATCGTCCTCCTACTACTACTACTAAGGATTTCCACAGTTTTCACTGCCTTCCTTTACTCAACCGTTTTCTCCAATTTTCCCTGTCATTCCAGTCTCCATCTCGCAGGGTTCTTTTCTCCATAGCCTCGTCGATTTCGTCTCTGAATGACCTTCGGGGTCTTCCTCTCTTTCTTCTTCCGATCGGGCTCCATTCTGTGATTTTGTTTATCCAGCGCAGCGTCATCTGTCCGCTCTTCTGACGTGGCCGTACCAGGATAGTCTCTTCTCCTCTATATAGTCGATTATGTCTGATTGTACTCCCATTCTCTGCTTAATCTCTGCGTTTTCAATTCTGTCTCTTTTGTAAGTCTACAGCTTCTCATCAGGAACTCCATTTCTACTGCTCTTATTCTACCTCTATTTCTCTTGTTTATTGTCCAGTTTATCTTCCTCTTAAAAACTTTTAATTGCTTTTCTTCTCTTACTGTTAATGTAAATGTTTCTGCAGCATATACTACTATTGATCTTATGGTCGTTATATAGATTTTCATTTTTGTGTTTCGGCTTATCTTCTTATCTCTAAATATTTTTTTATTTCTATAAAACTCGTATTTCTCGTTTGAATTCTTCTTTTTATATCTACAGTTTCATTTGTTCTGTTGACTAGTAATTCAAATATTTGAATGTTTCAACCTCTTCGAAACTGTGGGCATCTATTGTCAGTTCTGTCATTTGTGTCTTCTTTTATTTATTTCCAGTCCTCTTAGTTTGGCTCCGTTTTCTATTATTTGGAAGGTTTCCTTTAATGCACTTTCATCTGTTGCTACTATGGTTATATTGTCCGCATATCCTATTATTTGTACTGCATGTTTGTTTATAGTTCCTGCGTTTGACAGCTTTTTTATTATCTTGTCTAGTACCGTTACGGATAGAATAAATAGTACTTGACAAATGTTATAGGTATAAAAAAACTGCCAATCTTTAACAAGGAAGCAAAGTAATTTTGTAAATAGATAGTCATAATTTCCTCTATCCTGATTTATTACAACTATTTTAGATTTAAAGCAACTATCACACAAATAAGGTCTTAATTTAGATTTAGTTTTAGCATAATTTTTAAAATAAGATAATCTTTTAGGGTCGATAATAAGTACTATTAACGAAGTGATGACAGTCAAGAGGATGCTTCAGCTTCGTATTCATCCGTTGAGTCCTTTAGAGTTAGTAAACGCTTTATGCAAGAGAACTCCAATATATAAAGAAGAAGAAGAGGCGTTCGAACAATGGTGGTCGAAGGTACCCACGGTTAGAAAAAGAGCAAGAGCAGTGGAGCTGCTGCAGGAAGAACAAGCAGAGTTGGCGGCTAAACAACAAGCAAATGCTAAAAAGAAGATATAAATATTGTGATCTTAAAAATCAATATTTTATTATGGTGTTAAGCAAGGTTATATAATAAGTAAAATATATCAAATTAAAAGAAATATAATTTACCATTTAGAACTTAATTTTTTAATACATAATTTACCCATAACTTAGTAATAATATGTGTTAATTAAATAATTGTACTTTTAACAATTTATTGATTAATAAATGTAGGTAATAATATTTAATTAATGGACATTAACATAAAAAATGCAGTGAAAAATTAAGTGGCAGCAGTAATAGAAAAAGCTCACTGAAAAAATTTAAAAACTGGAAAACGGTCAAACCTTAAAATGATGACAACAACAATGAAACCCTCTGAACTACGCAGGGTTAACTTTTCTAATTAGATTTCCGAATGAGTTTCTATTTTTCAAAATTTACGCAAGATATGTATCTTTTCAAGAAATATTACCAATAATAGAAATTATTTGAAATTACGGTGGTGCTGCCAGAAAAATAGCGAATAAAAGTTTTCATGATCTTAGGTCAGGGGTACTCAAACTTGAACTGCTGGCGATCTACCTCAATATTTTTAGACTACTTACGATCGACTCTGAGAGACTGCAAGTGTGTGTGATGCAGGGTTGTCGTACATACACGATACACCCTACCTACCTAGGTAGAGCGTACCGTAGCATATATAGATATTAGCTTTCTGCACAATATAGGTACATTATTTTAGTCAAGGTTTAGGTTAGGTTTAGTTAGGTTCTTCTCTACAATATCAATGAAAAAACTCATAGTTATTCAAAATTGCGAGTTTATTTGTTGTTACAAAACAAAAGAGTTACATATGGTGTTAAACTTAACTAAGGAGTGGCTTTGGATGTTGAAGCGTGGCACTGCATGTCCTCAGCATACTTTTCATAAGATGGTACGTAACCACTGAGTGCTCATCGCAAGCATGATATCATATGATCGTCAGTTAGTCGATTGCGATATTTTGACTTAATTATCTTCATTTCAGAAAATGCAGACTCGCACAAGTAAGTTGACCCAAAAATTCCGTCAGTTGAAGGGCGATTTGCCTTACATTCGGATATTTATCTTCAGATATAAAACGCCAGAAATTTGTATCAGATACTGTAGCTTTCAGATGTATATCTGATATAATCTGCACCAACTCATTTTCAACAGAACATGAGTTCATATTAAACTGACTTGCTATTTCAGTAGCTAATTCCTCAATGTTTTTACATGAAAAAGGATAACTCATAAATGATGCTATATTTTCCAATTTACTGCAATCATAAAAACGCATTTCGAATTGTCCCAAAATATTTGATAATTCAGCCTCATACGTATAATAATTCAACTGAGGAATCCTTGCTTTCAAAGACAGAAAATGTTTCAGATCCTTTCTTTTCAGTTGATCTATCATAAGTTGCAATTTACTTTTGAATGCGTTTACTGCGCTAATCATCTCAATAATAGTTTTTCCTTTACCTTGAAGCTCCAAGTTAACGGTGTTTAAGTGCATTGTGATGTCAGTCAAAAATGCCAAATCATTTAGCCATTTTTCGTTTTTCAAAATCTGAGTGTTATCACCTCTTTCGTCTAGAAAAGCTGTTATTTCGGGCAATAATTCTTGAAACCTTTCTAGGAATTTTCCGCGACTCAACCACCTGACGTCCGTGTGAAGAACTAAATTAGTGTATTCAGCTGACTCCCTATCTTCCAACTCCAACGGATGGAATTCACAATTTTTGTTGCAATGCCCATAATTTCCTCCGTGTTTAAAACTTTTGAACACAAAACTTGTTGATGTTCATTAATGCAATGGAATGAAAAAAATGAAGGGAATTCTTCATTAGCTCAACACAATGCCACAAAACCGTTTTTGTTTTCAGTCATTGCTGGTGCTCCATCGGTTGTAATGCACATTAATTTATATATTGGTAGCTCGTAGTTTTTTACAAAATTTAAGAAAACGTCATATATATATATATATATATATATATATATATATATATATAAATATATGTAAATATATATAAATATATGTATATTATATATATATATATATATATATATATATATATATATATATATAATATATATATATATATATATATATATATCTTCGCCACGGGTCTTCCCCTTCAGAGGAATGATTGTCAAAAATTCTTCCTTAGCCAACATGTCATTGAATACCATCCGAATAAAAATACACAGCTGGGCAGTGTCTGTCATATCGATGGATTCGTCGAACTGTAAAGAAAAGTATGTACATTCCATGATATCATGTTTTAGTTTATCTGCGATGTCTTGACTCATAACTTCAATACGCCTTGTGACAGTCTGACGAGATAACTGAAGTTCTCTAATAGCAGACATGATTTCTGTTTTATTTTTAAAATCTCCAAATAAAGTCTCACCCGCTTCAATAAATGCTTCTTTCACCACCGATCCATCTTCAAATGGTTTCTTGTGTTTCGCAAAAATATGAGATATTTTAAATGACGCAATCGTAGCAGCTTTTGATTGTTTGGCTGGTCTTGTGAACATGGATTGTTCTTTTTTCAAACAAGATATCAAATCACTTACTTTTCGTTTTCTTAATTTACTCTGTGGCGGAAAATCCTTTTTATAGTTTTTATGAACCGTTTTATGATGCCTCTCTTAGTTGCCACGCTTAGGTATTGCAACTGACGCACGACAAATAACACAAATGCAATTATCCTTCACCATAGAAAAGAAAAATTCTTCCTCCCAATCCTTATTAAAATGATACATTTTAGATTTCTTCACTGCACTCATTTCCACTATTTAATAATAAACTTTGTATCGACGTAGGATCGCTATCAAGTTACAATTCAGAATAACTCCAATTCCTGCAGGCGCAACATTTATATCGGCGTGAACAAAAAGTCTCGAATGTTCCCGCCGCGCCGCCCGAAACTAGACTGTACTGTCTCTCGTGTAGAAACAACACGGCTTTTTTTTGACAAGTGCCGCGCGTTCCTTTGATAAAGCCACCTTTTGCCGCAAGCAGTGTTATTTTATTACGTAATACATTTTTGTAGTTGATAGAATATCATCCCAAATTTGATTAATAATTATAATAAATATTGAATTAATAAAATAATTAGTTAATATATGTAAATATAAAATATGATGTGTGGACAGTATTTTGTTGTCCCCACTTCTTTGAATTGCAATGATGCTTAGTCAAGGATTCTATGTATTTGTATAGTTCAGTATTAATAAAAACGTTTAACTCTGCTGACAGTAGTTTAGTTACCTACCTACTTATTAAATTTTTTTTTCTTCTCGAGATCTACCCAAAAAGCACTCGCGATCGACCAGTCGATCGCGATCGACCGTTTGAGCACCCATGTCTTAGGTTACGGCGATGGTAGAAGAAGTGTGACAAGGATGCAATATCTTTAATGAAAAATATCCTGAAGTAAAGCAACGGTGAGCAAAATAATGCATAAATTTATTATTGGTAATGTTAGAGATAAGCGTTAGAGATAATGTTAGAGATAAGAGTGGCAGACCCACTGTTTCCGACGACAATCAATTAAATGTATTACTTGAAATTGAAGAAAATCTTTATTTTTCAATTACAACTTTATCAACTAACAATGAGATCTGTCGTGGTGCTGATATGAAACTCCAAAAAAGGCCAAATTACATCCACATAAAATTAAAATTGAGGGGTCCGGCATTAAAAAATGGTAAGGGACAATACAGAAGATTTGAGTTTTGAAGTATTGAATTTAAAAAAAATATATTCTTATATTTTTTATACAAATATATAAGACTATAAATCATGTTAAAATTAGTTGATTATGTTGTTAATCAGGAGGCAAAATATGAAATACCAAATATATTTTTACAATGTGTTTATTGAGGTATAATAAAATACAAACAGTAAATTTACTGTTTGTATTTTGAGAACGATTTCCGAAGTGGAAATTGAAACGTCAATAAACGTATTTTTATCTTTAATTGTGGCTTATTCCCAGTTAAATAGTAATTAATTTACAATGCCACAAGAAAATAGCTTCAGAATAATACAAATGGAATCCTGTTTATTATCGCACACCATTAATCAAGAAATGTACATATATACTGATTTCTTCACATCCCTAAATTGTTTATAACTTTTACAGAAAATATTTCAAAAGTTGAGTGTGACATTTACTGCTTGCATCATTATTAGATGTTTTTTTATAAATTATTTTTAATAATGTACTTGGGCGAAGGTCATTAAACTGTTCCCTACTGCCGTCATGATTTGACCTTTTTGTTTAGTTAACCTGATAAAAATAGAAAAAGTCATAATTTTGGAATATTATTGTTTGATTTATCTTCTCAAACAATTAAATCAATCAATAAAAAAGTTAACCAAACCATTCCGTTGCGCGTTTAGAACTGAATGAAGAAAATATGTCTGCGATGATTTTAAAGAATGCAGTGAGTAAAGGGCAAGAGTCTGATAGAAATATTACATACATGCAAGACAGTGAAGAAAATAGTGTAAATTCAAATGAAAAAAATCTTTATGAAGAAGCGTTCACCATTTTACCAAAAGTTCCGAGATTAGTAGCAGTGTCAGGTAAACTTACTCCATTTTTTTAACTTAGCAAATATTTAGTTATTACAAATTTCACTATTCTTCTAAATCTTTCTAGAGGGCAATATATTTTTGTACTAATCGTTCTGTGTGTTGAATTGCTCGTATTCATGAAGTTTATATTATTAGATTCCCCATTATGCCACTTCCTCTAATTAGCATAATATTAGCAAATAATTTCCAAGACAGGTAAATGTCCTTTAGCTACTACATATACTAGACAAAAGAACTAGGAGTGACGAAAACAAATAAAATATTATAAAATCACTTTTTCTTGTACAACAAATTTGTTATGAACCTATAAAGGTCATTTTCTCCTTCTTCTGGTCTATGGCGCTTATTCCTTCTAGATTTTATTCTGCCATTTTCGTTGGTTATATAGTCTTTCCTTGTTTCTGCATGTTGTGTTCGCATTTCTCATTTCGCACCAGTTCTTTATGTTTCGAGTAGTTCTAATTAGGCACCAAATAATTAATAAAAGAACTATTTGCAGAATTGGCTGTTAATTAGAGAAGTATTATACAAAAACCACTATATTTAATTTCTACTGAATATATTTATCACATTGACACCACCAAAGAGGTGAAATACAGGAGATACAAGAATTGCATCCTTTAGAGACACAGAAGACTACGATCTTCTTCTTCTCGTGCCACTCCTAGCGGAGATTGGAAATCATCATGGCCACTGCGACTTTGTTAGCAGCGCGCCTAAAAAGTTCAATCGAACTACACCCGAACCATTCACGTAGATTACGAAGCCACGATATTTTTCTTCTTCCCACATTTCTTTTGCCCTTAATTTTGCCCTGCATGATGTTTCTTAAAAGTTCGTACTTTTCACCTCTCACAATGTGCCCCAAGTATTCCATCTTTCTAGTTTTTATCTCATTTAGAATTTCGCATCTTTTGTCTATAGTTTGGAGTACTTGCGTGTTAGTGACGCGGTCCATCCATGATATTCTGAGAATGCGCCTATAGCACCACATCTCGAAAGCTTCGATGTTTTTTATGGTCAACTGTTTTAGTGTCCAAGCCTCAACTCCATATAACAGGGTAGAAAAGACATAACACCGCAGCATTCGTATTCGTAACTTTATATTGATATCACGATTGCAAAAGAGTTTGCGCATTCTATTAAAGACTGATCTAGCGATTTCTATTCTACATCTAATCTCTTTTGTTTGATCAGTATCGTCTGTGATCCAAGCACCTAGATATTTATAAAAGGGCACACGCTCAATCGTTGTATTGTCTATTACAAGATTAGCTCTGATGTTCTTTGATTTCGTGATTACCATAAATTTAGTTTTTTTCAAATTAATTTTCAAGCCGTAACTGTTACAGTATATATTGAGACTTTGAACGAAATGTTGTAGTTCTACTAGCGTTCCCGTTAGGAGAACTGTATCGTCAGTTCTCAGTACCACGATAGACGAAATCAAATATGCTATTAAACTGATATCAAACTGAGAATTATGTCTCCTGGAGGGGTTATGAGGTCCTAGATATTTGAACTGTGATATATGTGCTATAGCTTTGTAGTTGATCATGGGAATGAAGTCTATTGGCTCTCCATTCTGATTGGGACACTCTCATTTATTTGCAAATAATTTTTTCTGAATTAAATAAAACTTTCAAGGATATATAACTTTTCACCAAGATATTGTCAGATTTCTGTGATGAATCAAACTAGCTACTTTTTTGAAGCTACTGGTTCAGGGTAAAGAAAGTGCTTCACAAATTGGTTTAAAATAATGTCAAAGAAGAGATTTTTTTAACAAAAATTCACATCTCGAGGGAATTATAACTCACGGCGCCCTAGTTTTGCGCCCAATAAGAACCTATCATTTTGTATAATACATATTTTTGTTTATGTGATGCATTAAGACATGAATCTAATAAACAAAAATATTCTAATAAAATAATATTAACAAAATAGATATAAATTAATCTAATTATTCCTTTAGGTAAGACAAAAGAAGATGTGGAGCATCTCATAGACACAATTGAAAAAAATCAACATGATGAACAGTTTTTATCATCAATTAATGATGCCTACTACGATCCAATTAAAAGTGGACACTTGTATAGAGGATATGCTCTTTTAAGTAAAACATTTCACAAAGAAATTTTTGCTGCTAAAAACTTGCATCGTCCCAAACTGGTATTTGTATATCCAGGACTTGGCATTGAACTTGGGATTGCCGCTAAAAGTATGTTGAAACTGGACGTCTTCAAAGAATCTATAATCAGGTCTGAGAATTATTTAGTGCCTTATGGCATAAAATTAATTGATATTATTAAACATGGCACTACAGACGATTTTAGCAATATTGTTAATTCGTTGGTAACATTAGTAGCAGTGCAGATAGCTTTAACTGACGTTCTTAGACACGTTGGAATCGAACCTGACATAATTTTTGGCCATTCTTTAGGAGAAGTTTGTGAGTATATATGAATTTTTGATAAGTTTATTTTAAATTTTATTTAAAAATATTTGTTCTCTTAATGTAATGAAGTATAATGGTTTTTCTTCCAAAAATTTTGCAGTTGTCAATTTAGTCATATTAAATTTCCCCCAGCTACCCATAATAATTTTTGATAGTCCACAAAGCAGGTGTAGATATCGCAAGTCATATCTCTGCACCTTTAGAATAATACCGGTAGACTAATCAGTGCATTCTCTCGTACTTACGCCTTTCATGAATCCAAACTGTGTGTCTTGTATTTTCTTTTCGCATAGCTTGTATATTCTGCGATGTATAAGTTTAAGGCTTATCCTCGAAAATTCTAACGGTAAATTTCAAGTTTTGCTATCTCTATTTCAATAATTTCTTTCTGTACGAAAACAAAATCTGTTCATGAAGTAAATATTCTAAACTTCGTTTAGATCTCTTTTCAAGCCCAGGTCAAAAATGCGTTTACCTTTTACTCGAGCCGATTATACACCGAGACAACCCCTGCAGTGACAGGTTTTGACTTACAATAAGACCATAAATCTCTTTAGTGGTATTTTGAGTAAATATAATAAAAGATCAAAGTTATATAATCTATTCATAAATTTACAATGTAAACAAATGTAACATACATAATTTATTTGTTATTTTTTTACGGAAAAATTGGCTATCTGAAGTTTAATGTAGATTAAAGTTTACGGAAAATAAAAATTATAAAAAAAGATTATTATTATATATCATAAAAATTTGATTAGTATCACTATCATTAAAATTGATTAAAATGAAACGATATAAATATAGAATTATGTCTAATGTTTCTTCAGAAGGTGTTTCAAATAAAAATTATAATAAAAATCTTATTCTAATTAGTATCACGATCATTAAAATTGATTAAAATGAAACTATATAAAATATAGAATTATGTCTAATGTTTCTTCAGAAGGTGTTTCAAATAAAAATTATAATAATGTATATGTAAATGTAAATGTAAATGTTATAATAATATATGTAAATATACTCCTAGATCTAGAGAAAATTGGGAGTGCGACAATGGGAATTACTGGCACAGGAACGACAAACATGGAAGGCAATAGTAACCGCGGCAAAGACTTACGAAGAGTTGTAGCGCCATTGATGATGATGAGGATGATGATGAAATATACTGTATAACTATTTATATGGATGTGAAATATGGATCATGAAGGATAATATGATGGACATTTTGACATTTTAGGATGTACGTTGAAAAATTAAAGCAAATATCGAGCACAAATTTAATAATCAAATCTTGCCCAATGTACTTTCGCTTTCTACAGCATCATCAGGGGAATCTGAAATAAGCAAGAAAAGTTTTTTTAAATGAAGAAAATTAATAAACTTCGATAAAAAACTCGAAGTTAATGGATGATAAAAGTTTTTTTGTGATTAACATTTTAGACTTACTTCGTCAAATTTGGTCTATCCAGCAAGCGCAGATGCCCTGATGATGCCGTAGAAAGCAAAAGTACTTGGGCAAGATTTGATTATTAAATTTGTGCTCGAAATTTGCCTTCATTTTTTAAAGTTCATTTATTAGAGCATTCAACCTTATATCAATAATTTAGGATATGACTCAGGTATATGATGAAGTATGGCAAAGACGCCATAACTATAACTAAGACTACACTTATCAAAACGATACTCTTAATAATTGACTCCTCCATCTTGGAAAGATATTTCAGAATTAAACAGGAAGAAACATACATGGAATTCACAGATATTACAGCAGGGCTGCCACAAAGAAGTGTCTTTACCTTTTGTATACGTGTTATATTATTGTCCTAGAAAATATACAATTGCAACATTTACCGAAGATATTGCTATCATAGCAATATGCAAAACCAGCGAGGAAGCGACAATGGAATTACACAGATGTTAATCAAATATATACTCCAGGGAAATAAGCAAAAAATAGACCATGTTCGTGACACTCAATAATCCAGGTCGCTGACAACTTTTTTAGTTATTGTAGACCTCTAGGAAGAAAACCTACTTCTTTTTTTGCCTTGAATTTGGAGCTGTTTTTTAATTATTGACAATTTAATGCAAAAAACGCGACTGTTTCTATGATTATTGATACTAGTATTAAAAAAAAATAGATTTTTGGAAGAAAATTGTTTTGCACGAATTGTTTAAACAAACTAGACTATTTACTAATTAATTCATATATAAACAAATTACTAATTCCTAATGTACGTAGAAATTACATACAAATTAAAATAGATCATACAAAATAAAAAAATAAGAATGATCAAAATCCATTGAGTAGATCCGGAGATATAGAAAATTTTATTAGTTTGAAATTGCTTGTTCGGTTTGGATTTGTAGGTTCTTCTAGTCACCATTTGAACTAAAAAAATTTGAAAAAAAATTTAGTGTATGGCTCATTAGACTTATTAGCCTATATTCTCCGCACTTTTCGCTCCCTGTTTCTTTGGTAACGTAATAAATTCTGAAACTAGCCAATCTTTTGCGAATATTGCCT